GAGTTCAAAACCTGTATGTTTCCTACATGTTAAATTATTTTTCTTCCTCTCTACTTCCCTACTTTTTCTTTTACAGCCTATACATAACCTACATACATTTCTATCCAGAAAGTTGTTTTGTGGCAGGTGCACTGATTATGGTAAGTACATCAGATTCCTGTTTGTACTCCCCTCAAAGATTAATCCAATGGGGATCCTTTTACGCTTCACATAAATGCACTGCACACAAGGAAGCCATGGGTAAGCAGATGAAATTAAATTAAACAGGAAAAGGTGCACAACAGAGTTCCATTTTCACCTTCTTCCATTACTTCCCTTGCACCAGTCTTTCTTCTCAACAAGCTTTAACCTTTCTCATAAGAACAGTTTCACTATATTCAAGCAAAATTTAACCTAGATTATGACATGTCCCCAAATGGACATTTGTCATATTGGAATTCTGCTATGAAGATGCAAAGGTAGAAGGCACCTCTGCACAAGTCCAAGAACATCTCTGTTGCTCTGAAACAGGCAAGCCTGATATTTGAGTTGCACAAATCCTAGATGCACAATTTCATTAACTGAAAATTAGTGCAGAAAAGAGCAACAAAGATCATTAGGAGACTGCATGTCAAAACATGTGAAGAATGGTTGCAGGATTTGGCTATGTCTATTGTAATCAAAAGGACCAGGAGTGACATGACAGCAATGTTCCAGTGTTTGAGGGGCTGAGGGTATGTGTCAACCTACTATACTACTGAAGGCAGGACAAGAAGCAATGGATGAAAAACAAAGGAGAAATTTCCTGACAATTGGGAAATAATTAATCAGTGGAACAACTTGCCTCCAGAAGTTGTAGGTGCTCCAACACTGGAGGTTTTTTGGAAGAGATTGGACAATCATTTGTCTGAAGTGATGTAGGATTTCCTGCTTGAGCAGGGAGGTTGGACTAGAAGACCTCCAAGGTCCCTTCCAACTCTATTATTCTATTATTCTGTTAAAGTAGAAATGAAGGTTCCTCAGTAATCAAGATTATTTGAAATGAAAATACTGTCACACACAAATAGCAGCCTTGCTTGAAGTTAAGTACCCTTTGTCACTGAAGCATTTCACATTTCCTTGAGAACTTCAGATACCATCACTTTTATAGCTACTTGTCGCTTATTTATTTGCACATTTAGAGCAGAAATTCTTTTATTGTGTTTTAATAGTTCTATCCTGCTGGTACACTTGCAAAAATATGTCTAGAGAGCAAAAAAGATTATTAATTAAAGGGGTCTATTAAATTATAATGTTTTGTAGCTATTGCTGCTCTGTCCTTTTATTTTTAAAAGTGGAAATTAACACTGTATTTCAAATGTCAAAAATCAATGCATGTAATACCTGATTGCCTGGTTATTAATGAAACAACTAGAAGATAGAATCACATCAGCAGAAATATCTTAAAGGAAAGGCATCCTTCTTACTGACCCAATGAAAATAACTCAAATAAAGTAAAATAAAATTTTGCTAGATATTTCATTTTTCTTTAACGTTACAAGATTTAGGATCAATATGGGAACGTTAAATGTTTACATATAGTAGCCACAAGAAGCCCAAGACACATGGAAGATATTTCAGATCCCATTTCCTGATGTCAATTTTTGTTACACATTTGTTTATGTGTATATGTATAATATATGCACACGAACACACACACATATATATATACATATATTGGGAAAATTGAGGCAATGTTTTTCAATAGATAATGTGGGGCAGAAGGAGGATTAAACCCAATTTATGTGTATCCTTGTGTACACTAGAATTCTATAAAATACAGAGGCCCGAAAAATGATGAAGCTAGCAGAAAATTGATTGATTTGATTAGAGAAAAGAATATATCCAATTTTGTTTCTTCCTGGAAATCACTTCTGAACTTTGTTCTTGAGATAGAAAAAAATGAACTTTTGACTTTCAGTTTTGCTAATTGACCTAGTTTGTTATTATATAAATGATTAGTACTCATTAAATTCTATTTTGTACTTTACTATGCCAAACAAAGTTGAAAGTCAATGCTAATTTTCTTTCCCTCTTCACTCTACACCTCTGTTTCCTCCTTCATTACTTTCCCTACAATTTTCCTATTATCTTTATTTTCATTTTTTTTAAAGTATATAAAGAGGTAGGGAAATATTCGTATAGGGATCACAACAGAATGTTTTCAAATCTGTTTGCATTGCCAACCAACCAACTAATCAAAACTCTTCTCTGCCATAATGATTAGCTATTTTTCAACTAAGATTGGGCATATGTCACTTCCAGGCTTTTTCTTTCATAGTTGAATCCTTTTTTTCCTGTTTTTATGTCAAATTTTAACTTCTATTTGCATTTGCCTTGTTTTGTATGTTGCCCACTGATTGTTCTGCCTTCTTTATCTGAGATGCTTAATCTGACCCATTTAAAATGGACCTCTGTCTCATTTCCCCATTTCCAAGTACATATAATCAAATATATTTCTCCACTTTCAAATGAAGAATGACACTACGAGGTTACCCACACCAATCAATTATAGTCTGCCTATTAGTGTAAAAAAAAAGATTAATATTTCTTTCAATTGACCTCAATCTTTGGCAACTACATGGGCACATCTGCATAGCTGTCTTGACAGTAACATTAAAGTTGTTTGTCATTGTGTGCTTGCAAGATACTTTTTTCTAGATTATAGCCCTAAAATTTCTTTATAGATTCACATAAATGCTAGCCAGATCTGACCTTTTCTAATTTTTCAGAATCACCCAAGATCAGCTATGTGCACCCATATGACATTAGAAAACCATAGGTGTGAGTAGCCTTGTAACAACATCAGTTTAACAATGTAATGCAGATGTCAGTGAGAAATATCATATTTCTATATCTGTAGATAAGTGCTCTAAATATATGATGTAAGCATTTGCAAGGAAACAAATTTATGGTGATGATCAAAGTGTTAAATTCCTTTTTCGGGGTAGAGTTTAGCTAACTGTTTGTTCTTTTGCATTAGCCTAAAGGCACACAAATCACTATATATTATGTATACAATATAAAATGTAGTTGGTTCCCCAAATTGGGGAAGGTATGAACACAATTTAAGAAAGTTACTGAGAGATGTAACAGTTAAATGAGCTAATTTTACTTGTCACATGCCAAGTTTAAACCTTCACTTTCTTCACAGACTTCTTATCTGGGAGAAGTGTATAGTTGCATTAATTCTATGCTTGAGGCTCTTCTTTCTTTGAAGTGGAATGGCTAAATTAAGGATAGCTAAATGTTTAAAAATACCAAAATATAACTGCTATCATACATCATTTCAATAAGTGACAGTTTCATAATAAAACAAAATCTGACAATTTCATATTATTCAGCTTCAACATAGTTCTGCCATTTCAATGTACAATTCTTGACTTGAGGCAAAGAGAACAATAGTCTTGTGTTCATTTCCAAAAAAATGTTTTCTTAAGATATAACAGAAAACTTTGATCCCCTTTCCCATAATGCACCCCAAAATTTTCCCTCAAAGACAAAACAGTTGTGATTTTGAAAATGAAAGCATAAAATTGTTTCTTTTACAAAATAAATTTTTCAAATTGATTGTTGCTGCAATAGTTATTATGAGGCAAGATAGTAAGTGTATCATGTGCCATAAATAACAGTACCTTTTACAGAAAGGACAGCTAATACATGGGTTAATAAAAATTATTCATCTCTCTTCTTTGATCAGACAATGAAATTTGAAGGCCCTTCATTATGTCCCTTGTTTGGGTAATGTGATTGGCCAGCCTAACTTATAAACTCATATTAGTTAACATTTTACATATATATGCGGTTCATCAGAAGGTGTGAAGTTGCAATCACTCGTTTCTATATGATCAGGATATTTTAGATCACTGCTTTCTACCACATTGGTTAATGAGGTATGTAACAAGTCCATCAACTGTACTATTTCATATAAAATATCAGATCTACTGTGTAGGTCAGGGATGTCAAACTGGTGGCCCATGGGCCAGATATGTCACATGCAGGGCATGTCCACCCCAGCTCCACAAAGGGAAAAAAACATCATGAAATGTCACATGACGTCAATGTGACACCGTGAATTTGACACCTGTGGTGTAGGTGGTAGAATAATTTCCAAGGTACATATTTTAAGCCCATCCTTCAATTTCCCCCTTTTGTAAATATACACTGCACACAATCAAATACTTATGATAAAATAAAATTAACTTCATTACCAAGCAAAGGAACGATAATTTGAAACATGAAGATAATTTCAGGGTGACCTCAATGTACTTTGCTAGGAGGTGCAATTTTACAGAGTTGCTTCACTAGCACTGCAGCTGATAGGAACCATTAAGATTTAACCAATCCATGCAGAACATTCAAAATCTAGTAGCATTGTGTATTAATCAAGGCAGAAAATTAATTGGCAGCTTCTTCATTCCATAGCCTGCTTTTAAGACAATAAGAGCTGACAGAAAAATCACACATTTATGACGGTGGTTTTTTCATCTGAAAAACTTAACACAAAGGCTTGCTCTGCTAAAAGCCAAACATGTGTTTAATGAAGCTTCCCTTTAAAGCAAACTGGCTTATATAGGAAATAAAAAAGTGAGGATTTGTAGAAACACAGAAAGTGGAGCTGATATTTTACACACACACACACACACACACACACACACACACACACACACTCCTGTTTGCATCAAGGAAGGGAAAAAAGACACATCCAAAATGATAGGGAGAAGCAGTCAGAAGGGATTAGAAAGCAGAATATTCCACCTTGCCTCTTTTTTTTTGCCATAGTGGGTTGCTTAAAAGGCAAGAATGTTCTAAAAACAGATGGCAACAGATCTCTCCTCCGGCACTCAGCGCTGACCTGGTTTCTCATTCAAGGATGAAGAGCTATATATACTTTAGCCCATTACTCCTCTGAAGTAAAGTGAGTAACCAATGTCCTTCAAACACCAAAGCTTTAGGTGTTTTTAGCTCCCTGCCTTGATGAGCTAAAATGAACTTAAGTATTCCAATGCAACCTCATATACAAATTTATATTGTTCCTGAAAGAGATAGAAGATAAATCAAGTTAATATTCAGGTGACTCATTCTTTCAATCCACTCTACTTTAATATCACATTTAGACTCCCAAAATTTCTCAAAATCCCATACACAGACAGAGAGTTCCAAATTTGCATTCAGTGCTCCATGTGACCCTTAGAATATTCTTGTTTCATTTCCTCAAATTGCTAAGGTAGAAGAATATGGGCAATATTACAAATAGCAATTAGATTATAGCACAATCAATGTGTTTGAAATGTGTTTTACCATTCACATCAAATAAATGCATTGTTTTTAAAAAATCAAATGCAAAAAAGATATTTTTTTTTAAAAAAAGACAAATACATATGGGTCTACCACAGAACCTGCATTTTCCCTGCTCTTTTAAAGATGAAAAGTTAGAAAACTAAATATAATTCCCAAGGAAGAATTTTTAATAAATTTAGACTGATCTAGCAGATTCATATATCTAATGAATAACTTTATGTAAAAGTAGAACTCTTCAAAAGTACTTCTCCTGCAGCTTCTACTATATGGAAAGCTTCAACATGCCTGGACAACTTAATATCTGAAGAGGTAGTTTCTCAAAAATTCTCTAAATCAGAGATTCCCAAACTTTCTTTGCTCATAGCATTGAGAAGTACTTTAATGTTTCAGTATTTTTTTCATGGAATTCCATTGTGCCACTGGAGTGCCAGTGAACAATGGAGAACCACACTTTTCAAGTTATAAGTTATTTAAAGTTTAAAGATTAACCCAATTTAGTATCTTAAATTGTGGTTACAAAACAATCAGACTCCAGTTCAGATTTTTAGTAATATCAACACATGATCCAGTGTCTTACATGGATATTCCATTTGGACTAAGTTGGGGCTTGAGATCTTCTACAGCGTACCGTCACATGAGCAATAATTAAGTTGCAATATGTGTATATGTGTCCATGTAAGAAACGTTCTGCTGTATATTATTTGCTAATTACCTTATTCCTACTGAAATTAATGGATATAGCCCAACTACGATTAAGTAATTTGAGTGGGGGTGGGAGGGAAATCCACAGGCAACAAACAGGTTTTCTTTCAAGAGCTGGGATAAACAGTGCCCAAAATATATGTCTACTTTATTCATTGCTAACATGTTTCTATTAATACATCCTCTGAACAATCATCCAGAAGAGACACAATTGTTCCGTTTTATTTAAAGTAGTTAAGACACCTGTAATCTGACACCTGTTAAGACCCTGTTGATCTAAAAATTATAAGCCAGTTCCAAATGAACTATTTTAAGCCAGGCTTCACCAATATATTGAAGCTCTCATTTTGTCATTCTCAGATCTCTCATTATCTCATATAAAGCAAATAGGCAAAATATTCAAGTTTTCTGACTAAGGCTGGATGAGGCTGAGATTAAACTGAAGATGCTGGGTTGACAGTTGGATTCAACTTTGTTTGCAAGTTGTTATATTCCCACAGAAAGACCCCAAACATTTCCCCTGACCTTACGTTGTCCCTGGATTGTTACATGATGATAAAATCTGCCCACTGTGCCACTAGTGACCTTTCCATAACTAATCCATGTCTTAATTACATCACATTTCAGGAAAAATATCTGAAAGCTTCCATTGTTCCAAAACAAAAGTGGTTATATTAGATCATATGAGAATAATATGAAAATTCTTACATTTGCTACTAAGTTAGTTCTAAGGAAATATTTACAATTTAAACTCTGACTTACTTATGGTCTCTTTATGTAAAGTCCCATAACTTTTTATAAATCTACCCAGAAATGTATTATTCTAACATATAGGAAAGGACTTTTTCTTACATTGCTCTCAAATAAGAGGATTTTAAATTATTTTAAGGTTATTTGATATTATTTAAATAATTTATATTTTATTCTTTCAGTATGGTTAAAATTGGCTGAAGTCTCCCCCCCCCCATGTTTTTAATTTTGTTTCTTTTTCACCCTTAAATGGACAAGTAAGCAGTACTGTATTAGGATTATTAAGTAAATAAACACAGCACATAAATTACCACTGGACTGGACATAATCTTAGAAATGTATAATATATTATTTAAAATCTCAACAAGCAAACACATAAACACCACCCTCAAAGTTCTATGTATCTGGGGGCAGTGTGTCTGCTTTGTGTGTACTTGCCCATAGATACAACTTATCTCACATCATTTTCTCTATATAGGAGAGAAAATCTCAAAGGTCACATATAGAACACTGAAGGTTTCTATTTTTCACCCAGTTTAAAACAATTCTGAACAGAGTTTCATAGACTTTGAGTAAGTAGACTGGAAATCTTTCAAAGCAATTCTTAAAACAGCCCCACCTTTCATTCAGGCTCACCTAGAAGCTTGGAAAGCTTTATAGAATAACAGTGAAGTGCTCTGTTTGTACAAGGTTAAAAAAAATCATCTTCTGAATTATTGTCAAAGTGTGTGAAACCCCGCTTTGTTTCTGTATTCTGAATTAAATGGATTTTATTTTAATAGGTTTTACTAGCTAGGCATGGATGCTGTTTGCATGCCTTTCAAAACAAAAGCAATTGAACTGTACTTTAAAATTAGTGTTCCTCAGGAGTTTTTTAAGTACATAATGCAGCTTCTGCTATTATCTGAATAATAGATAAAATCCAAAATGGATGCTTAGAAACAAAAAGAGTCTTTGAATATTTTATTTCAAAGAACAAGAAGCAATCAATCTATTATGCTTACCAATGTCTCCACCATGTTGGACTTGTTATTCCGCAAGGTTTTCACTATGTGAAATACATCAATGATATTTTGCTGCTGGATCATTTCACACACACTACATATGGCACAGAAGGTGCCACTGCGGCCACCACCATTCCTAGAATAAACAATAAGAGCTGGTTTAGGAAATTACATATGTTTATAACAGAAGAGTACTTCAAGGGGATCTAAGAGATCTATCCAAATGCAAGACCATCAATTACATGTAACAGCCATATATACAATTTACTTGCATTAATGCTTTTCATAAAAATAGTTCAATAACATTAGATTCAGAACAGAAACAGCAAACTTAGGTCCATTCTAGTTTGTCTTGTTGGGTCACATAATATATGTTCTATTATATAATCATATTTTATTGCATCTCATATTAAGTATCAATGTGTGATACTTCTGGACCATATAATTAATAAGAACAGATTATCATCAATATTTGATTTCCTTGGGTAGCTGTAAATTCCAATCAGTATTCATACTATATATGCTGATTTAGTCACCAGCCAAGATTTCTCAGTGATCTAGAGTAATGAGGGAAACTCTGCAACATAAAAATTCTTGGACTTATGAACAGAGAAGGGGAACAGCTTAGAACGACCATTGAACCAGAGTCATTGAGAACCAGGCTTAATGATAACAAACAAACAAACAACGTACTGATTTTTAGCTCTATAATACTATAATGCTGCATTAAGCAGACATTTGGATATTCAGGTTTTCTTTAAGTATGTATATCAAACAGTACAGGGTAATCCATCAAAGTGATCAAGTTTGCAACGCTTCTTCTTCTTCTCAGACAGGCAATTTGAACTTAATACAGTAAACAAGATAAAGAAATGCTTACAGGCAATGAACCACAGTCCGCCCATCTCGCCCATCATATTGCTCCTGCCATTTTTCCAATCGCCTGACCACTTTCAGGAGAGAGCGTTTAGAAGGAGGAGTGTCTCTATATGCTGGCCAGCCAATATACTGCAAATGTTGAACAATACGGTACCCATCTTGCGGCTAAAGAAAAAAATGTAGAATTGGTTGAATCTTGAAAAGGAAAGTATGGATGCTTCTATATACCCCCAGAACAGCATGTGTTGTATTCTAAGAGCTTTGAAAGAAGATTTCTCATTCATTTTGGTTGCAGGAATTGGGGCATATTTTCAGAAGTGTTTATCTCAGCAAAACTATTAAAAATCATACGTATTAGAACATTCTTAATTTATAGCAGAAAAATTAAAGAAACACTTTTCCTGCATCATAGTGGAAACCAAGGATGCCATGAAAGCTTTTTGTAAGCATCATCTGGAAATATACCATAGACTCAGTTACTAGTAACTAGCAGAACCTCTCTTGAATGTGATGAGAAAATTTGGGGACAATTGTCAGCTCTAGAATTAAAAAAACCTGTTCTTTTCTTTTAAAAATGGAAAAATCATTTTTTTAAAAAATCATTTTTAATTAACAGACAATAATGATATTCAGCTAATGACTTCAAAAGATTGAATATCAAGGGCATATTTAGCAGTGACACTGCAATTATTTTCTAAAACCATTATAAAGAAAATTGTAGCTGATAAATAGCCTGACTCTTCTGTCTTCCTTTGCAAGCACAATTATACTTACAAGTGATAGGTTAAAGGGGATATTTAATACCATATCTGTTAATAGAGCAATTGTTTCATTGTCAATGCTTTGTAGCAGAGTATAGAGTTAAGTTTGATATATAGATAGGGTGATGAAAGAGGGACTGCCAAATGGGAAATGTTGAAACCATGTTAGCCTTTCTCTTTTATTTATACAGGTAGTCCTTAACTTACAACAGTTCATTTAGTGACAGTTCAATGTTATAACAGCACTGAAAAAAGTGATTTAGGACTGTTTTTCACAGTTGTAAACTATGCAGCATCATCATGATCATGCGATTCAGATGCATGGCAACTGGTTCATATTTATTACCATTGCAGTATCCCAGTATCTCATGTGATCACTTTTTTCCACCTTCCAACAAACAAAGTTAATAGGGAAGCCACATTGACTTAACAACCGGGTTAGTAATTTAACCACTGCAGCGATTCACTTAACAACTGTGTCAGTAAATGTAAAATGGGGCAAAACTCACATGTCTTACTTACTTACTTACTTATGGACTCAATTGTGGTCATAAGTCAAGGAATACCTGTATTAGCTAACTACCCATATTAGAGGAAGATATGGACAATAGCCAATGTATGCTAAAATTTACAATGGTATATTCTTGAATGCATAATCCTAGATTGGGTATTTCCTTGACCTTTCTCATTCAAAACCTAGATTCATATCTGCCATCCAGTTCTAGTCCATTCAAAAATTCAAATTCAAGGATAACAGCGGAGAACAGCTAGGAGAGATAAGATATAGTAAAAAGAAAACAAGGTAGGAATTAGGAAATAAGCCCCAATTATAGAAATATTAGTCAATACTGCAATTGATGGGAGTCTAAAACTATACAAGCAAGACTGTAAGTTAAGAGGGGACATCACTTTAGCATCTTGTAGAATGATAAAGAGTAACCCTAATAAGAAACAAACAAAATGAAACAAAATAACTATTTTGGCTTCATTTCCTATAACTGACCCCTTTCAATAACTCTAATCTGTCCAATGTTCTATGTTCAAAAGAGACAGGCTGCCCACTCAAAGAACAGTAACAATATGATCATCCCACCTACATTATCCCAAGGCATCCTAATTAATATCTGCAGAATGAATATTGATAGAAAATTATTTGACTTCTATTTACCCTTGCCATGTTGCAGATCCGAAATATCCGATTAATAATATCCTCGTCTATGTCAGCAGAAACAAATTCCACTTGGATTGGCCCATAACAGCAAGATGTCTTCTCTGGCCAGTACTGCATACAAAGCTGATCGTAATGAAAGAAAAACAAACACAAATCAGGAGGAAAAAAGGAGAAACACAAAACACCAGTTTTCACACAAAATCTTAGAATGTTCATTTCTTTTAAAAGACACCTTGAACACACTCTGAATACAACATAAAATATTAATGACAAATATAGAGGAAATCATTATCTTGATCCTTAGTCCCAGTTTTGCAAATCATTGTTCCTTATATTTCACGAGCCTAAACTCTTGTTTAATGATAGGAATTATTATCAGAGCTTGCCAAAGTGTCTATTAAAGGAATCAAATTAATTTGTTGTCAACCCTGAAGTTGGCCTGGCCGAAGCCATCTTGGAACTTCAACATTGCCAGGAAGCCATTGCCAGGAAGGAGGAGTGATGTCACCAGACCAGCATATGCTGCCTTGATTGGGCCATGTGACTGATTGTTTGGGATTGGGGGAAAACTTTCACTTTTAATTAGGTGAAAACTTCAGAGTTTTCATCTAAGAGTCAGTTTTCACCAGATATGTGCCAATATGATATTTCTTTGAGGAATCTACCTGCCTCAGAGTCTTTGCTTGAAATGGATCTATTACTTGGAACCCTGACACATATATTTAATGTGGGTCCAATAGTAACTAAAAGTGCTTATCCATATATACTTTTTTTCCAACATTTTTTTTATTTTTACTATATAAAGAAAGAGCAACTATTTTAATGTGTATATAAACAATGTGTTATTAGATTACAGTTAGTCTGAGCAATAGTCATCATCATCATCATAACGTTCATTAGTAGTGATCTTATAATAACAGTATTTTCTCCACATAAAATTAATATTTAATCGTTAATACTAAATCATATTGATTATAATAATAAACCCTCATGGTAAAGTTAATTCTTATTTGACCATAGATAAAATGAACCCCATGTTTCAAAATATTCCGTATCTTCCTTCTCTTTAATTTCAAGTGTAAATCTATCCATTTTTGCATATTCTAGTATTTTTTCTTACTATCTTCTCATCTGTGGGGAACTCCACATCTTTCCAATGTTGTGCAAATACAATTCTGGATGCTGATAACACATGTAATATTAAATACATAGTCACATTAATCCACCTACCTGGGCAGCATCCATTTCATTCAGCATCACAACAGAAGAACAGTTGTAATCAAACACTAGCCTCCAGAAATCAGCTCCAGTGTTGGGCAATGGATGCTGAGTAACTATAAAGGCAGCAGGTTGCTTGTGGCTCTAAAGGAAGAAAAAAAAAACAATGGAGGAAAAGAATTCACATTAGTGACAAAAACCTGTTATTGTTTATTGAGAAGCATATTACACTGGGGAGCCTATGGACAGGCAAACAGATTAACATAAATAAATTATACAAATCATACCTCATACTCTGTTTTTGCCACCCACCCCATTGAATAGAAACAGCCTGCATAATAAGGTTTTATTTCATTAGAGAAGAAGCATAAGAACAAGAATTATCCCTTTTGCATAACAATTAGAATAAATGACTCAATGTGCCACCTGGAAGCAAGACTTTTCCTAAGGAAATCAATAACTGGAAACTGAAATTTAATAAATTAAGTTGACACAACAAGCTTCTGCTATTCTCAACCTAAACAAGCATTTTGTTTTTCCTTTTTAAGAGCTTAGGCTAAAAAAAAGCCTTTAAACCTCTAAAAGTTGGGATGTATCCATTATGTTTCAGACATATTTTCTCTAAGCATTTATATTAGGTAGATGTTAATGCTTAGATGGGAAATACACCTGGGAATTTTAAAGCTTCTGGCTAGACTGCAAAATAAAACAAAACAAGAAACAGAAGAAAGCAATGGTAAACTCCTGCCATAACACTGCCAAGAAAACTGAAGGGACGCACTCACCAAGAGTTGAGGTCAACTCAAGATCATATTTATATTTAATTCAGTTAATTGTATTAGTGATTGATAGAAGCAGCACATTAATCCCAAAGGAAGATGAATGTCTGATAATGTTATTTCTTAGACAGAAAATCATAGAAAAAGTACATTAATTGGTGGGCCCACTGCTTGTGGGATTCTTTCACATGAATAATAGTATTCCTGTCCAAACAGGAGGGGAAACTTTCATTGTCCCCATACATAAAAAAAAGTTAAGTAAGATTCCCCAAAATTATAGGCCCAAAGTACTATTAAGAAAGTGAGTAAAATTAAAAATCTTTATCTAGTTATGAAACATTACAATTGAAAAAATATTTGCCAACATTTCTTCTTTTATACAACAGTAAAATTCTAGAAGTCAACTACTGATTTTCATAATCTAGTGAAAAACATTTGGCCAAGAAGGACAGATCATGCTATTTGCATGCCATTAACATCCCTCAAATTTAAAAATTTAAAAATGCTAGCATAAAAAGGAGATTACACATTTAAAGTATTATTGCATTTTGCCTACAGCTTACCATTTAAATGAATAAACTATCCCTTCTGAAACATGGATTAGGATTTGGGATAAGCCTAAAAAGGAGATATCCATCTCCTTAAAGCAGTTAGCTAGCATTCTGAGAAGTACTTAAAACTAGTCCTGAGATCCATGCTGAAGTAGTGCTAGTCATTTTGATGAGAATCTTACAGTGGGGAACAGAAAATCCAAACCTTTGTTAACCTGCATCTGAATAGCAAAGCTTGACAAAATGTAAAAAAAACATATATAAAAACATATAAGAATTGCTATGAAGAAAAAAAAACCACCCAGAGATCAATCAGTATATATATTTTTTAAAAAAATCCAAATTAAGCAGGAACTTTCCTTCATCACATCAAGGTAACAAAAGTGGATTGAGTTATCAGAAATAATACTACCCAGATCCTGAGCTTCTTGTTTCACTCAAGACTTAAATGTACATCAGGAGAAGATTCCTCCTTGAAATCCTCTCTGAAAGTCCTGCTTTCTAGAGCACACTGTCACTGGACTAGTGAGGCAAAGAAAAAAGTCATCACTAGAGAGAAATCAAGATCAGAGGTGGTATTCAGCAGGTTCTGACCAGTTCTGGAGAAGCAGTAGTGGAAATTTTGATTAGTTCAGAGAACTGGCAAATAACATCTTTGACTTGAGATTTTACAGTATTCTTCCCCTGCCACACCCACCGAGCCACGCCCACAGAACTGTAGTAATGGTATTTATCCTTCCTGGGGATGATTTTAATGAAAAAAAGACTATGTTTTAAAATAATGTAATATTTTTTGTTTATTTAAGAGACAGAATAAGATTTGGAGATATAGCTATGATTGATTGGGGTGTTTTTTGCAGTGAGAGATTTTATAGCAATAATATCATCATATTGGTGTGTGTCCTGAATATATATGATACAACATATATGGCTACAGAGTTATAAATGCAAGCCACATCTGAAATCAAGGTAGGTAGCTCAGAAAGAAGGCATGTAGCATGAGAAACCCTTCAGCATTTACCGTGGAATTTGTTTCTATATGGAATATTTATAAAGATAAACCAAAACAAAAATGCCCCCAACAGTTTTATTGCTGGCAGCTGCTCAAAGTTAGACAGAGGTTTGTTTTTTTAAAAAAAAACAAAACAGCTTTTGCTTAGTGAAGCAGTAAAGGGCCCTGTTCATTCAACTGTTAGATAACAGATGCATATTTGCTATCACAATGCCTGTGAGTCACTCTGACAAGATTTCATACTGCAGCTGAAAGTATTTATTTATTTAAATTGTGAAACATGCAAACCTTAGATTTTATAGCAAAGGGGCTCACTTGTAATCATAACTGAGTGTATGTTAAATAAAAAAGAGAAAGAAGGAAAAAATATGGGATTACATTTTGGATTTATTTCTTTCAAATTCAAATTCAAAGATTTATAACAATTTTAACCCAAACAGATCAATACAGACACTGAATCTAGAGTAAATATATGCTATACAAGGAGATATCAGGGTCGTTGCACGCCCCTTATGATGTGTCATTTTGTAATTAATGTATAGGAGATATCCTTCCCATATCCTGCACTTAAAACTGATCATTTATAGCAGGGGTGGGATTCAGTTTTTTTTAACAACTGGTTCTGTGGGCGTGGCTTAGTTGGTGGATATGGCCTGGGGGTCATGTGACTGGGTGGCCAACTCAACATCACTCATGGCAAGGGGTGCTACTACTCGCCTAGCCTCTCATGACAGTGTAATGGTCATAAGTGTAAAAAATGGTCATAAGTCACTTTTTTCAGTGCCGTTGTAACTTTGAATGGTCACTAAATGAACTGTTGTAAGTCAAGGGTTACCTGTACAAAAACACAAAAAGCTGCTTTGCTTGCAAAAAGCTGCCCTAAATACCAATCATTAGATTAAAAATACCTGCAAGCCAGAGTTACAAATCAGGCAGGGTGCCAGAGCACCTTGAGAAATGAAAATAGTTAAAATGCAGTGATAACTATCAAGCAGCCATCTCTTGCTCATAAAGTGAAACCCTTTAGCAGAAAGGTCATTTAAGCTCTCCAGAAAAAGCACACCCAAGAAAAGCAATCCTTAGATCCATCTGCACCACTTAAAGATACCAGCTGGTCTCACTTACCTCACATGATATCCTAAGGAAATCATCCAGATTTCTTGAAAGGTCACATGCCCCCCAGAAAGGCAGTAAAAAAAAATCAGTGCCAAGTTTGCATCCTGTCTCTTGGAAGTACACCCCAGAGGACAGTGCCAGATACCACTAAAGCAGTGAAGGAAGACCCCCTCCCCAAATAGAAAAAGAAACCATGAGGCAGGAAAAAATTCAAACACAATACAAATAATTAAATCACAACAGTAGCTGTTGCTTGTTGAAGCTGAACAGAGAAAGTTATCCCATCAATAAACACAGGATTAAATGTCACCAAGCACAGAATTAACCTTCACCAAAAACCAGTTTTAGACCAAAACTCAGAAAAGGTATGTAAACTCACATTTGAATGTCAATCTTTCTAGCTAGCCAAGAAGCCTTGCTGAATGTCACTCATCTTGGTTCCCTGTCACTAAAAGCTTTGCTTCATGATTCAATTATTTCTTCAAAGTGCTGATTGTCCAGGGAATTATTTCCTACCAACAGCAGTGTAAAAATCTTAAAACAATCCTTCCCCTTTAAGAAAGCCAAGCCTCAGAAGCTCTGGAGACAGGAAGTCTAGGTGTACTGGCAAGAATGTAATGAGGGTGGGAAAAACAAAAGGAGATTGCTTCTAACTACCTGTTCTCCGAACTGCTTAGAAAGTTAACAAGGGATTCTATAGAACCAGACAGAACCAGTAGAATTCCACTCCTGATTTATCGGACGAAAGGAATATCACACTGAAACAGGTTATTTTCTCTTTCTCAGCCCAACTGATCAACGAGGTTAAAAGTGAGATGCAATGTATTTATACCTTATTCAGTTCTTTGGAAAAAGTGGGAATACAAATGTGGTAGAAAGACAATAGTGCACCAAGTTATTCAGTTTTACTCTGTTTCATGTTAAAAAATAGTTTTACTTACATCCATGAGTGCAGCATTAATATAGTTGCTTGATTCTCCATCAACAGAAATAAGAAAAGGGAGGCACCGATCCAAAGGAAGTACATCCATGCAGCGATTCTTATCATGATTCCTTGGCAAAAGTCCAATGCTGCAATCTTCTGGACGTACTCGAGGAGTAACAATATTAAGGGTCTGTGTTTAGAGAAAAACCAGGGATTGATTAAGATTAAACTTGCTAAAAATGTGACTTTGTGCCCTACTTGTCTTGTTCATGCACCAAGTGTCTGCTGAAAATGCTGCCCAAGAAGAAGTTCCAATTAGAATCAACTAGGTCTGGAGCTCCAGTACAATGGATTTTCTCCCCATTACAATCTTTACCCTCTCTGATCACTTTAAATATAGTTTAGAAACTTGTTTTTATAAGCTAGCACTTCCTGAAGCATACATTTTGTCAGGTATAAATGGCTGCTTTAACAATGTGACATAAGGTTTTATTGTTATTATTTTTGTTTGTGTTAAATGATGGATTTATTATTACTGAGCTGTGGTGGTGTATTGGTTAGAATGCAGTATTGCCACTAATTCTACCAACTGCCAGAAGTTCATTCCTGGCCTGTTCAAGGTTGACTCAGACTCCCGTTCTTATGAGGTCAGTAAAATTGTTGAGGGCAATATGCTGCATCTGTGAACTGCTTAAGAGAGAGCTATAAACAAAAATGGTATTCAGCAGGTTCTGACCAGTTCTGGAGAACTGGTAGTGGAGATTTTGAGTAGTTCAGAAAACCGGCAAATACCATCTCTGACTGGAGATTTTACAATATCCTTTCCTTGCCATGCCCACAGAAACAGTAGTAAAAAAATTTGAATCCCACCACTGGTTGTAAAACACTATGAAGTGGTATATAAGTCTAACCGCTATTGCTATTACCATTTAAAGTTATATATTGCATCAGACCATCTTTTTTGAGAATATATGGGTTCAAATATGAAAAACAAATACTGGATTCTTTTCAATAGTAGGTAGACTAAATTCTTAAGTACTTTGAAAATATGAGTTTACAAAATCTGTCATACAAGTATACAGGAAGGGAGTAGAATATCCAAAACGTTTCTAGTGGCTGATGTCCCAAAAGTGGTGTTTTTTTTTTTTTTTAAGATGATTCACTCCTCATCTCGGACACTTCTTCAGCTGTGACAGGATAGTGGGGGATGGAAGGATTTATATGTCTTGCAGAGCTGAAGAAGTTTCTTGGATGAGAAGCAAAACATCTTCAAAGAAAAAACAAGAAAGTCCAGTTGCCTCCTGAAAAAGCATCTTTGGGACAACCATGACCTGATGACTGATAATCTCTATAGACTAGTGGCTGATAATGTCAATAATCAAAACTGGAACTATAAAATACAGATTTTTGAATAATTTTCTCTGCACACTATCTGTTTAAAGACAATTCAATTTGTTCAAAATTTGAATAATATGGTCAAGAAAATTACATCTAATATATAACATCAAACTATCAGTTTTGATCATCTAAGGATTCTTTCTTCTGGCCATGATACAATTCCTACCTCCAATCTTCAGGTGGTAACAAAGCCAGGGAGTTTACTACCTTGTAGATTTATTACATGACAAGTTAAAAAAAGCGCTTTGCTTCTATTCCCCCCAAATGACACCAGCTATCAGGGGGAAAAAAGTAATCATTAATCACTGTCCCTAACTTTTTAGATACACGGGCTAGAAGAATTAAGAACGTTATGTGATATGAGAGATTTGAAGTCAAGATCTCCGGTGCTATTTCTCATATGTATAGAAGCTAGACTGTGGGAAAAGTTTTTTGGGTGACCATTCTTTCTTTTTTTCTGAATTCTGAATTTCTGCTCCTCCTGCTGCTTTTTGGTATATGGAAAATCCTGTCCTGGTGATTGCACAGATATTCAATAACAAGTGGATACTGGAGGAAGTTTAGCCAAGTAGACAATAGGTTTTAAAAGAGGCATAAAAAAATTAAGGACGTAAAAAGAACAGTATCTCCAGTATCCTACTTCCATATAAGCAGGGATTAGCACCAAACAAACAGCCAAGCAGAAAACAATACTCTAATCAAGGAATTACCAAGGAGAAAAACCACATCCCCACCAACACTGGCAGGGCAACATACTGTATATAAACAGGAAATAAAGCCCATATCCACTAGCACTGATGATGTATAGTGTCTGATAATTAGGAGATCCTGAGTCTTTTCTTTGATAAAGAAGGGACCTGAGAAGTGCACAGCTTCACAAAGTCAATCACAGGCAATTAGTGTGCAAATATATAAAAATATGGTAAATGAGCATGGCTTTGCACTGTTGTACAATTGCACAAGTCCACTTTATATGGCAGCAGTCCCCTATCAGTCTTGCAGAAGCAGTAGAAGCTCCCGTTGCTGTGTCTGCACATGGATTAAAATCACATGAATTAAAAATCAGAACCTTCCACCATTTTACAGAACAGGGAGATCTATTTCCTATGCTTCAGCAATGTCAAAAATCAGAATAGTAACTGAGATAGGAGTCAGAATTAAAGATGAGGGGTATGCCTGTATCAGCCTGAAATGTCTAATATGTGTCCAGCTAAATCCAAACTCTACAGGTCACTCAACATGATCAGTGAAGTGTCAGATTTTTTTACATTGTGCAACTTTCCCCTCTTGCAAATGTGTTCCAGGGGAAAATACTTTTATTATGGGTACAGTTAAGGACAACTTAAGCCTGTATAACAATTGGCTGGAGAGAAGATTAAGGCTACTTCATGGCAAAATGGTAGAAAAAGAGATTGCCATTGCACCTTTATACAGTAGTTAAATACAACTGACAGTCTGTATCTGTTTCAGTTGAAAAATGAGTGCATTTGGTGCCTTCAATAATTCTTAACCTGTCATATAATCTTTCATCTATGAAATTACATAGCCATTAATAGATTAATGTCCCCCACATATCATGAAATTTATCAGTCTAGCACTATATTGAGTAGCATTCATTTACTCTTTTATCTAGAGAAATGGGAATTCTAAATGTTAAAAAGAGCCTTAATTTTGATAAAACATGTGATATTTGAATCTATGATCTCTCCAAGATTTTATGCATGTTATAACTAGATTTCAGTCCCCTCTGCTCTCGAAAGCTTTTATGCTAGAATACATACCATTAAATCCCTTTGATGGAGCCCCATCAGGCATTAATCTGGCAAAATACACAACCTTAAATCCCTTGTAATGATCTTTCCTTTGCCAAGATGCACATGGTAAGCTACATCAGGCAAATGGATAGATTGCTGGCCTCTTAATCATTCGGCAATATTTCCTTCTTACTAATCTGATAAATCAACATTCACCATGCCTGCAGTCCTAAATTGTTCTGTTAGCTATAAATTATAAACAAACCTTGGCCTATTAGTGCTACTGTAAGTCTCTTCCTGTTAATCTTCAGTTAATGTGCACAAGAATTCTTTAAGGAACCAACATCTAAATATTTTAGACAGCTCTTACATGTAGAAACAATCAAATCTATGCCAAACCGTGTGGTTTAAAAGTACATTATGTATATAAATATGGTATGTATATTACAAAAATAGAACAAGAGTCACAATGAAGATTATTAATGAAAAAATATGTTTAAAATGGTTATAGCCTGAGTAATTCAAAAGACTTATAGATCTCCAGATGGTTTGAGCTTAGTGGTGGGTGACTTCTGAACTCATTTTGAAACTATTTAACAAGTCAAAATTTTTTAAAAATTCATTATTAATTATACAAACAATTAATGTAATAACATAAGCAAAGCCGAACAATTTGGTGACAGTATATTTTGTTTATGACCACAAGTGACAAGGTTGTGTTGTTACAGAACTTCAGTAGATTGTAAAAGTACACTAAATCCAAATGCTGCCTTAGTACTTTGAGAGTATTTTACTAAGACTGAATAGGAAATTAAGAATTTGAACTTTTGTAATGTAGTGCTAAGACCAGGTGTAAAGCCAAACCACTACACCTGCCCCTACTCTATAGGAAGATAAGTTTTGTTAAAAACAACAACATACAAACAAAAAATAAAACTAAGAATTTAACTGGGGTTACTGACTTTCCAATAAACTTACTATACTTCAAGGCTCTAAATCACCTATGCTTAATCCATCCTCAGAATTGATCTCCCCCCTCCCCCAAAACTCTCCAACCACAAACAATCAGAACAAAGCAAAGGACCATATGTAGTCCCAATTAGGCACAAGATTGTCCCAGAATCTTTTGCGGCTGTTGATATCTGCACATCACAAGCCTTTGCAGTCATTGCTGGACCTGATGAAGCCATCTTGACATCAATATCAGTTTTCTTGCATAATACATTCAATGGGAATCCAATTTATTGTCTTGCTCAAACAATGTTAACACTATGTCCCTGAGATCAGATAGTTTTGCTATCAGTCAAATTCACAAAGAATTTAGCCAGCTGTTAGTCACTAAAATATATCTGTAAACTATAACCCAGCTAAATCTACTTTATAGATAAGCTAAATCTATTTTAACACTGGCACGTTAGCCATAATAATTTTTTTTCTGATATAAAAAATATTCCACATAGTTGATCAATGCAGAAATTTTGGCCTGGTCAAGCTAGCTTATCCTTGCCACTTTCTTCTGTTCTCCAAAGAAAGCTACATACTACCTCTCTATACTATACTACCTCTCTGCAGGGACAATGAGCTTGCTGCTTTCCCTTCTTATCCTTTCTAGTCTCTAACAGCATAACTGCCCTCCTGCTAACAATGCAATTGACCTGACTGCTCTAACAAGGCAGTTAATCCTCTGGTCTTGCTAGCCACATAACTGGCTTTCCATTTCCCATTGATCAATTTCCCACTTTCAGCTTAGGGAGCAAGAAATAATGCTTGTTCCCACAGACTTTTTTTCTTACTGATATGAATGCAGAAATACCTGCTTGGTGATTAATCATTCTGGAACTGTTTATTAATATCAGATTGGAGGGGAGTGTCCAGGTCTATAAATACATGTTCTAAAGGTCCCTAAGCATAGACACAAGTGATTATGAGTAGTCTCTCCTGCCACTTTGTGCATCAGAGCTCCCCTTACTAAGTATACTGCTTTTACTGATATTATTTCTATTAAGAAAGCTTCATCACACACTACATCTGACATTTGGCATTACTTTGTTCTTTGGGATCTTAGCTGTGGTGGCCACTGCCCACACTACCCTTCTTATGCACTGGGTGGTTTATCCACACTTATTTATACTGATATAACCCAAAACAGATTCTCACAAGCAACAAACAATGATGCTAACCAAGGGGATCATGCCGTGCAACAAATCAGATGTTCCACATTTCCACCAGCAGTGTCATCACTGGCCCCAACAGCTTTACAACCAAGATTGGGAGCACATTTATGCCACACACTCTTTCCTTTAATTAGATAAAGGTTGTTATCTGTCAGCAATCTCCTCTTATTCCACATTGGACAACTAGGCAAGAATTTGTGCAAAACAATTAATAGACATGTGTAATATCAGGAGTTAAAACAAGAACAAAGTAATATTGGTGCATTTTAATTTCCCAAGAAACTTTATTATAGATCTCAAGGTAGCTGTTTTGGAACAACGAAACTTTATCAGCATTATAGAGGGAGACTGCACAACTCACATACATCAAAAAATTTCAAGGTATTTCAAAAAGTCTTAATAAACACTTTTTAAAAATATACTACAGGTCTTAATAAACACTTTAAATATATATTACAGGTCTTAATAAGCACTTTTTAAAAATACATTACAAGTGCCAGTTGTAATCTATCCTGCATGTAAAATAATCATCTTAATCATCTTTCTTGCACCACCTTACCTCATCCCAATTTTAATCCTACATCAGTTGAACTGCTCTATGAATCAGGTGAGCTACAATTCAGTAAAATGTAAATAGTAAAATGTGTTATTCTGAAGAAGTGCTAATAGAGTCTTGCTGATTTTTTGTGAGATTAACATAACTCTCCTCCTATAATGATTAGTCTAATAATAGTGAGAGAATGCCTCCCTTCTGATTTTGAAGATTTCATACTTGAACAACTATACTACTAATTTAATAGCATGCTCAAGTTTTAACTTTGACAATTCACTCAAACAAATGCCTGCTAACTGTGAAATCCATCACTTTCAAAAAAATAAGCATTCAGTGCAAGAATATGCTGTTAAATTTCAGTTGTTAGTTCAGCATATGGGCTGAAATGTTTAACTGACCAATTCAGGGAAGGACTGTCAGAAGAAATACAAGACAAACCCATTTGTCAATGCACTGCAGAAAATACGATAGCATTTAATTTGCCTGGGCATCTGTTTAAGATGTGATGCAATGCTGCAGAATAGTCAAGAAAGTAAGTCACCACTGTTCTGTTTCCTTGACTTCTCATCATACTTTTTTATTTATTTATTTATTTTTGTCAATTGTTTACAAAATAATAGGTATAAGTAAAAACATAGTTATGAATACATGAATACATATAAGAAAAATAAAAAATAAAAATAAAAGAAACAATAGGACAGGGATGGTAGGCACGTTGGTGAGATTTTAGAAGCTGAACCATTGCATCTGGGAATAAATAAGTTATTATTTGCCAAAAACAGATTAGGTTCATGCACAAAAGACAATGTTGTTTTTGTGGATGATGTGGTTACTTTACACAGTAAAAGCCCCCCTGATACATACACACACACACCTAAGGCACTCCATTCTATGCAATTGTATTGAAGATTTACAACTACAGGGGCTCAACCATCTACATTCATTTTCTTTAATGCACCCTTGTATCTTACTGGCCAAATACAATCAGTATTCCTTGAATATAAATTCTCGCCACTACTCAATCAAATACACAGCTAGCTTCTCTAAATGATTTTATAATGAGAACTTACAGGAAGGCAAAGTTCTTGTTTTTTGTCAAAAGATTTCAATGTCCAATAAAGTTTTCTTAAATTCAAACAACATTCACGGTGTAGCCCATATTCCCTTATACAGATCCACCATCACCTAATTGTATTGATTGATTATTTTAGCAAAAGCAATAGCACTTAGATTTATATACTGCTTCATAGTGCTTTATAGCCCTCTCTCAGCAGTTTACAGAGTCAGCATATTGCCCCCAACAATTTTGGGTCCTCATTTTACCCACCTTGGAAGGATGGAAGGCTGAGTCAACCTTGAGCCTGGTGGGATTTGAACTGCTAAATTGCAGGCAGCCAACAATCAGCAGAAGTCGCCTGCAGTACTGCACTCCAACCACTGCATCACCAAGGCTCATTTTAATTTCCATCTGGGAGCTTCTACAATCTGCTCCAAAATTTGAGGACAACTTCATTGGGAATTTGCTTCCAGACAATTTCTTCCTGCCAAAAATAACTACAATGATTTTAACAAGAGACTTTGGCCATCAATGGAAGCTTTAAGCTATTGACTCCATCTCTTTAAAGGTATAAATACAGTACTGTACCTAATAGATGTCTGTTCTGATTACAAGAAGCTTCTCAAAGGGGTTTTTCCCATTTGTATTTTCTCACATTCTTAATCCCTTTCTACTGTCCAGTATTAGAAGAACGAAGAAGCAGAGAAGCATGAAAGGCAGGAAATATTATTCACTTCTGCCAAAGAAGTCAGGAAAGACACTATTGCTTTCACCTGCCCACAATTAGGAGGAAGAATAGGGAGAAACACCTGACACCTGCAGACTAATGGAGATGAAGGAAAACATACCAAAGGTGATGCAAACTGGGTACCAGTGATTCCTAGGCTAGAAATGACCATTACTTAAATATCTTTTAGCTGTCCCTCAAGGCCATAAAAAGATTGATCCTTTTAACTTACAGGAGAGAAAAGACTAAGTTATGAGGAGAACTATGTGCAATAGACAGTAGATGCCTATTGGCTCTAATATTTTTTTATTGCAATAGGCAATCATTTGTTGTGTTAAGTGTTGGGAAAAGCTGTGATTTACCATTAAACCTTGGAGTCTGACAAGTATAAATATGGAACAGGTGGGGGCTTTTAATCACATATTTTTCTGAGTCATAGAATTGTAACTTTTCAGTGATGCAATATGACAGTAAAGCAATATAAGCATAACTCAGAACATTGATCAAAGCAAACTTTTAAGACAACCAGAACTAAAAATCAAGAAATAACTAATCTCAATGGTTAATCTTTAACACTCTTGGATAAACACCTTTCAGGAGTATAACTCTGATATCTAAATATGGTTTGCAATTTTTGTAATAGTGATGGAAAAATATATCATGCATGTTTGGAAGCAGTCACTTTTCCTACCTATATTTTCATGATTCAGTTTTGCAATTTTAGTCTTGTGACTGGGAAGTTTCATCTCAAATTTAGTTTCTTATCTCTCATTTCTTTTTCAGTATTTAAAATAATATATCTTATGTCTAAAGATGGATGAGACACTTAAGGCTCACCCAAAATTAACTTGGAAATAACCTGACCTATTTCCTTTGGCTTCTCTCTTTTCCAAACAATGTGAACTGGAAAATTGTGTATGTCAATTATTTGACAAAGATCACATGCTTCTAGATATAAGTTTAACCAGGCATTTTGTAATCATTTTCTGGAGAGATAGGAAATGAAAGGCTTACTTGTACATTTGCATCTATCTATGAAATATCTACTTATCTCTGCTTATTACATTATTTATATGATTAATTTTGAGGCTGTCTGACTCTATAGCACCTCGGGAAACTTATAGAGAAAAAAAGAAAAAAAGGGGGAAAAAGGATAGCTGACTGATGATCACAAATGCCCCCAATAATCAACCAGGAGGACAACCAGGTCTTAAGCAATTTGTAGAAAAGTCAGAAAAGTGAGGGAAGTATGAATTTCTGGGAAGGTATTATTCTGTAGATGAGGGGCCATCAGTGAGAGTCATCACCATCCTTCCTGGGTCCCATAAGATGAAAGTGCTTAATTGATGGTAGCTGGAATGTGCCCATTGTAGATGACCCATGCTATGGAAATATATGGAGGCAGGCAATCCGTCAAGTAACCAGGACCTAGGGCTTTAATCATAATAGCCAGTAACTTAATCTGTATTCAGAAGCCAATCAATAGTCAGTGCAGCTTGCAAAACAGCAAGGAAATGGGCATATAGTGCACATCTATCACTGCCCATGCCAGTGCATTCTTAACCAGCAGTAGTTTCCAAGTGGCTTTCAAGCACACTTGGATACTTTCATGTGGACATTGTTGTAAATGATACCTTTGAATACAGAGGAGAGACTTTCTCAAATGAAGAGATAAAAAGAATATTCCAAGAAAAATTACTGGGGGAAGGTTGATTCTTCTCCATAAACACTCTTGGGGCCAAGAGGATCCTGAATTAACTTGAGTATGTTTTTTTTCTGATGCAGACTACCAAAGGCAGTTGGACTCGTTGATATCTTTGTCAATTTCATGTGAGTGGGAAAAGTCTTTGGTGGTCTTTGATGGATGGACTTTAACCTAAAAAGGATTTTGGAGTTTATATAGTTTACTTCTTCCTTGAGAAAATCCTGAATAATCTTTATAAAATCTACTTTAACACTGGCACATTAGCCATAATTTTCTATGGCTGAAGATATATAAGGAACATTATTTATCCATCACCTTACCTGGAATTCATCTTTTATCTGGCTGGAATTTGTCTGTGGATCCAGTCTGCTGATGTTGTAGTATATAGATCTGAATTCACAAACAGGAATGGCAGTGTTGCCACAAAGGCACGCTTCCAGAATAGCATCATGAACAAACACATACTGCTCCTACATATCAAAAAAGTTAATTGCGAATCATCATTAGGACCTTCAGAAGCAATTGTAATGACTTTTACTTTAATGAAACTTTAAAGAACTTCAGGTCAACAAGAAAACAAAACATTTTTCTAATCCAACAAAAGGGTAAAGTGTGAGAAGTTCTTACACTTTAGCATTGGATGTACAAGATAAATTAAATCTAGAGAGAGAATATGCTATTGTATTGGTGATGACTGTATTATAAGAGGTATCAGAATTTCAGTAGAAAAAAACTATTGAAAATAAGCTTATTTTACTTAGATATTTATCGATTTTATCATTATAATTGTTTATGTCTAATCTATAGAGCCATCTACCTTCATGGCATTTTATACTGTCAACATGGTATAAATTCCTAGGTCAAAATCCTCAATATTTTAAATGAAGATCGAATTTGATTCCATGAAATATTCTAATGATGAAATACTCTATCTAGTTTTATTGTTTGTTAAGCAGATTGACTAATTTACTCATTAATATAATCAGTCATTTGCCAGAAGGAAAATGAGCAGTTACAGTTCCCGGTTCAATAAATACTGCGTTTCTCACAAAATAAGGCCGGGCTTTATTTATTTTTTTACCCCCGAAAAAATGGCTAGTCTGTCTTATTGGGGGTGACTTAATTCCCCCCCCTTGCATCCTCGGGTGCGCGGGCAGCGATAGCTTGGATGTTGACCTCGGTGTTGGTGGGGCACTTCGTATCAGGAAACCTTCTGCCACCATTGCTTCCCTTTCTCCCTTGCTGCCGTGGTGTTTAGAGCAATGCCGTGGCGTTTGGCGCAGCCACGTGCGGCCAGCCAGGGCTCCTCCCTGCAAACGGAGCCCAGTGGAGACACTTGGCTTCAGGCACTCCTGTTGCCGCCTTCCCTTCACCTTCGAAGGTAAAGCCACTTATTTTAAAAACAACACTCTACTACAACAAAGCCTCCCCTGCCTGAGAGGGCAGCCCAACCCCACGTGGGGAGGCGAATCTCCTGGAGCTGCAGCACAGGATCAGCCTACCTCAGGAGAAGTGCCCAGCTGCCATCCCTGCCTGGCGCTGGGCAGAGCGCGAAGAGCTTTGCCTATGGCGCCAGCAGAGCTCTCACCAAGGCAGCGAATGCCTCCCACCGGACCCTGTGCTCATCCCGTCAGGGCTGCGCCAGAGCTGTGTGGGCTGGGCAGAGCCGGGAAAGTGAGCCACGGGTGCGTGCCTGTCTGCCTACCAAGCAAAAGAGCCGGGCCGACCTGTGCTTGGCTTCCTTCCCAAGTCCCTCCAGTGTGAACCCGAAGTGGCCACTGGGAAAGGCTGCCCGAGGCAGTGATAGCGCCCACCTGTCTGTGGTCAGGGAGGCGAGGTGATGGCAGCGCTGCTTCCCTGGCCGGCAGAGAGAGCCCAAAGCTGCCCATCCTTTCCACCCCCCACCCAGCCTGTCCCCATCCCCATGCATCTCCAAATACACTGGCAGCTCCAAACGCTGCAGCGGAATGGGCATCAGGCAGAGGCACTGACTTGGTGGGGCTCAGCTTGGAGGAGGACATGGCACAGGCCATCCCCTTGCCTCCCTGTCCACAGATGGGTGGGCGTTATCACTGCCTCGGGTGGTCTCTCTCTGTGGCCCCTTCGGGTTTGGACTGGAGGGACTTGGGAAGGAAGCCAAGATTGGGTTGGCCCAGCTATTTCGCTTGGCAGGCAGGTGCGCACCTGCGGCTTGCTTTTCTGGCTCTGCCCAGCCCGCATGGCTCTGGCACGGCCCTGACGGGATGAGCAGAGGGTTCAGAGGGGAAGCGATCACTGCCTTGGTGAGAGCTCTGCCACCGGGCAGGAGGGCCCACGTGTCAGCTGCGCTGGGTGACTGAGGCGAAGCTCTCTACCCAGCGCCAGGCAGGGATGGCGGCTGATCCTGCACTGCGGCCCCAGGAAATTTGCCTTCCCACGTGGGGTTGGGCTGCCCTCTTGTACAGGGGAGGCTTTGTCATACCGGTAGTAGGGTGTCATTTTTAAAAGAATTGGCTTTGCCTTTGAAGGCAAAGGGAAGGCGGTGACAGGAGTGCCTGAAGCCGAGTGTCTCCGCCGGGCTTCAGTTGCAGGGAGGAGCCCTGGCTGGCTGCACGTGGCTGCACCAGACACCACAGCGTTGCTCTAAATGCCGTGGCAGCAAGGGAGAAGGGAAAGCAATGGTGGAGGAAGGTCTCCTGATACGAAGTGCCCCCCAATGCCAAAGTCAACACAGGCAGCACCATATCCATGTATGCAACAAAAGTACTTCCTGATGGCAAGCCCCCCCCTGCCATTCCCCCCCATTTTGCATGTTTAATATAGGCGTTAATTTGGGAGGAGGGGCTTAATTTGATTTTATGCCGATAAAACATGCTGGGCCTTCCTATTGGTGGAGGCTGTATTGTTGGAGAAACATGGTATATCTGAATGAACTTGTGCTAGAAGATCATAAGCATTCTTTATTTATTGATTGACTGGTTGATTGATTGAATTTCTAGGCTGCCCAACTCCAAAAAGACTTTTGCCAGCTTTACAAGTAGAAAGAATCAACATAATTTAAAAGTCTAACCTTTATTCTAAAGACTTCAACCACTGAATCTTATAAAATAACCTCAAAAGATACTGTGTTATAGAATTTACTTGAAACTTAAAGTAAATTAATTAGAGAAAATAGTTTCTTAAATCAAATTAAATTAAATTAGGTAGAGAAATCTAGAAAAGTGCTTATAGTGCTGATTGTATTTCAGCTCATGGAAACTGATATGGGTTAACCATTACAACAGAAAATAGACTTATGAATATAATGTTGGCCATTATAAATGCTGTTTGAATCTGGTGGTGAACATAGGCTTTATTTGTGTATGAATCATATATTTTTAAAAGTGGCATTTGAAAAAGATGATTCTTCTACAATGGTACTAGCCATCTCTGTTTTTTGTAAGAATTTTAACAAAAAAAAATCATATGTACATTATGTACATACATTACTCTAAGCAATAATGGAGTTCAGAAGTATTTTAAAGCAATGTTACTAAATTAAGCTAACATAGTTTATTAAAATTAAGCTAGTATGCTGAAAATATTTTGAAATATTATACAGTATATTTTCACAAGTGTATCTTTTATTCTATTTTATTCAATTTGCATCCACCTGAAAGTACTGAACTTTTGCTTAGGAATAGCCTGAAAAATAAGAGAACAAAAAATAAAAAAGGATACCTCTGTCTGTACCAAGTTAACTCTCTGGGATCGCAACTCTCTCACACAATTAAATATATCCACCACACCTTCGTTTTCTGCCATGTCAAGCATGATGTCTATGGCAATAAAGCACCCTGTCCTCCCAGCACCAGCACTGAAAGAGAAAACCAGAAAACCAGAACAAGGATTTTGTCAATGAACCAATGGCATAACAATGAGTGTGTTTTTAAACTGCGGTGAGGATTATATGGTGCAAATGCAGCTGTATTTTTTCTTTAGTCCCTTTGCTACAAAGATCTGAGCTTTACTTCCCTTTGCAAAGCTGCAAAATTAAGAAAAAAAGGGGAATTAAAAAGTGTGAGAAAAAAAGAAGACACAAAATTTAAAAAAATCAAGCTTGTCTCTCGCCTTTATCTTAGATGAAACCTGATGAAAGAGAGATGAGCTACATTATTTGAAGCAGTTATTCTTTCACTTTTTTGTTTTAAGCAAGTTTCTTGTTTATTTCAGAAATGATAGGTCTATAAAAATCTCAATATTTCCTTCTGCACTTTGGCCCTTGAAGATTAGGCAGGTTATCTGTGGGGGAAGGAAATTAAGTCTGATCTCAAAAGGCCAACTTTTCACTAGTTTGACAATCTAGATGTTAACATTTCTGTAAAAATGTTCAGGTTATTTGGAGTTCTGAGTGTTGTAATCTTTCAGGAATGTGTGTCTTGCAGAAGTACTGCTCCAACTTGATCTGGCCTACAGGAATCCAATTTGCACACTAAATGTTGTAGTAGCAGTTAGGGAAAGGAAAGGGCTTTTCAGCACATATAAAAATAATGTTCAAATAAAAAGGCTGAGTTAGACCTTTTCCCCTGAAATCTTAATTTTGTAATTTAAGTTTATTTATTTCGTTACCACATATTCCACAAATACATTTTGTTCACACAATGAAGTTTAAATATACTAAAATCACATTTCCCCAGAGTTCATTTAAAGCATATTTGAATTTAAGTGCCAGAAAAAAACTACAGAGAATTGTGCTGGTTAATTTAAAACCTCACGATCCAAAGAAATACAAATGGTCACTACTGCAAAGTTACTAATGGTATAGTTTGATTCTCAGTGGAAAAAATATGAACTTTGCATATATTTTATTCTTTAAACTGTTGTATTCCTAAAAATAATTCAAAGTGACAATAAATTATTACATGAATAAAATCCAAATTAACTCTTTAGCCATTTCTAAAAATTGGCCTATTTAAGATTTAATGAAGCAGAAGACAAATGTAGCCATTGGCTGCTGATATGGGACAATTGATGGCAGGAGAATTCCTGTCCTTACCAGTTAAGGGGGAATTTAGTTATCATTGTGCATATAAATGGTTGTTGACTGCTGATAGTTTTCCAACTTAGGGTCAGCAATCAATACCACAGAAAATTAATCTTTTAAAATTGCATGACATGAGGTATTTCCACTGCTTCTACCAAAACTTTTACCCTTGATTGACTCACAATGGCAGCCAGGGAGTCTCACCGGAAAATAATTTCACATTCTATTTCTGCCATGCACAGTTGCTCAGGTTGGACAGAAAAAAATGATTTGCCTCTAAATGCAAATCATCTTCCCTGTCTCCTTTCTCCCACTGTGAAATATCATTCTGCAAACAGGAAAGAACATACAATGTCCTTTCCGAAGTATGATGAAAATGCAGCTAAAACAAAATGCTGCAATAACCAGGAGATATGAATAGAGTATGAATTATTATCAATTGGAATAAACTAGAGCTAGGAAAGAATAATTGCTATCAGCTTAGTGAATATATGGCATTTCATTCTCTTTAATTCACTTTTCTGTCCTTCAGAATTGTAATAAATATAACATTAACATACTTACAATGTGTACTTAAGTATTGACCCATACTATCCATAAAGTTTTGAGATGAAAATAATCAGACGACCAATAGATGACATTCGGCATTTTTGTAGACCTAACCTAACTACCCAAGGAAACATCTTATTTATTTATTATATTTATATGCCACCCATTTCACTATTGAGTGTCTCTAAAACTTTAGAGAAAATTTAGCCATCACTACTATATTGGATATTGCTATTTCAACACTTAACAAAAAAAAAAAAGGTTAGGTACATGTGAGTCATTTTAAATTAAGAACAAACATCTTCAGAACATTATCTACCGGGATCAGGATCAAATTGTCTATCTACTTTTAAAACAGTATTTATAATAGAAAATGCTTCTATCAGATTTACATTTTGAACATGATATTGCATTGAGAAATGAATGTTATTAATGTTTAGAACTCACTTGAAATACAGTAGTTATAGCACCCTACACAGGAAGATACTGAGTAATACCCAATTTAGTCCTCTACACAGAAGTCAAAGGTTATGTATCTACCAAAAGTGTATACTTACAATCAAACTATATTTTTCAGATATGGGTCTATTGTGAGAAATAAATGCAGTTGATATACAGAAGGTTTGTTCCAAAAGTATGTTTTCAAGAAGCAACTGGACTTTCTGGTTTTTCAACGAACGGTTGCAGGAATGGCTAGTCTAGTAAAGAGAAGGACCAGGGGAGACATGATAGCAGTCTTCCAATATTTGAGGGGCTGCCACAGGGAGGATGGGGTCAAGCTATTTTCTAAAGGGCCTGTAGGCCAGACAAGGAATAATGGATGGAAACTGAACAAGGAGAGATTTAAGCTGGAAATAAGGAGAAACTTTCTGACAATGAGAACACTCAATCAATGAAACAGCTTGCCCTCGGAAGTTGTGGGAGCGTCATCACTTGAGACTTTCAAGAAGAGATTGGACTGCCATTTGTCATAAATGGTGTAGGGTCTCCTGCTTGGGCAGGAGAGGGGGTTGGACTAGATGACCTACAAGGTCCCTTCCAACTCTGATTATCTGTTATCTGTTATCTTTCTCATCCAAGAAGCTTCTTCAGCTTCAAAGTTTTTTCTTCAAAGAAAAAACAGAAGTTCAATTGCCTTTTGGGAAAGCACCTTTGAGACAACATGACCTGGATGACTGAGAATCTCCTTACACATTTACAGAAGGTTTGTTGTATGATAAGATTTTGGATAATGCAACATTCATTCTATCTAGGATAGTAGAATGCCTGGTAAGGTAGGGAAATAATCAGCACTGGTGGAAATGGATGAAAGGAAATGATAGATGGAAACAAAGTTTGTACCTGCAGTGCACAACAATAGGCCCTGCATCTGGTGGGTTGAGAAACTTCACTTGTCGAACAAAGCCCAAGAGACCTGTAGCATAACAAGGAACCCCATGGTCTGGCCAGCTAGTGAAATGGAATTGACGAATTTCTCGAATCTCATGGTAGCCTTTCTGAAAAGAATATATAATAATTAAAAAAAAATCTTCTATTCTCTTTCATAATAAGTACTATTTAATTATAAGTTGTTTCTTTCTTAGGTTGAGACTAGATTTACCCAACAGGAAATCAATCTAAATAGAAAATCTCATTTTACCTAGAATGTTACAATGAAAAAAAACAACCTTCTTTTATCTTATTCATGGTGCCCCTAAAACAATCAATTTTGAAGAAAAATTGTGTGTGGGGGGAAATAATTGATTTTTCTCCCTTCAACTCTACTTACAACTTCATGTATTTCAAGTATGTGTGTGGGTATTTTTCTGAAAATGCAAAGTGAAAAGGCATGCTTGTGTATGTGTATATTTCTCTGTGTATACATATACATGTTTGTACACAATTTAAGTGATTTAAATAAAAAATAAATTTGAAGTTTCATGAATTCAATTTTTTAAAAAAGTTGTGCAATTATCCCCTATCATTCCTTGAACAAAGGTTGCTAAAGAAACTGTACTAGTAGGCAGTCATAACTTTGCTTTGTTAAATCTGGCAAATTCACATCCAGTTTATGGTGATAAATGTCTTGGCAGTAAGCAGTAGCAAACTAGTTTTTAAAAAGTAGAAGTACTCCAATTATCTGCAAGGTATAAGTGGTACATAATTAAGGTACCATCTATATTTTTTATTTATTTCGAAAGTATGCCCAGTAAGGCTGAAATCCAAATTAAGAACAAGGGAAGCATGCCAAATAATTATTCTGAAAATGCTGTGATCATACAAATTACAGTAATATAGTTCTAGCTTGTTTTACTATTTCAAAAATGTATTATTCTGGTTTTGACTTCTGAAACATATTTAAAAGTAGGAAACATTTATGTATGCAAAACATATGTAGTATGCTTTTTTAATGTACTATTCTGCTAAAGAATGACATAGAGGAACAAGTAGCAATTATTTAAAAACTCACTTGCGTACATAATCCAATAATTAGCAATATAATACTTGATACAAATAATCATATAATGAAAACCAATTCAAACTGCTTTCAAATAAGATGTTGGTATTTCTTTACTGCTGCGTGGTAAAGAAATAACATCTGATCTGAAAGCAGAGAGACAAAACTAGCATTCTGTTTATTCTATATACCAACTTCTACACTTATAGGATCATGATGATCTTCTGTATTCCTCCAAAGTTTCATCCCTTTTCTTAAGAAAAAGAGAAAGAAAATAATAATGTAGGGTAGTGATAAGAGTTTAAGCCTAAGTGCTATTGCTATTAAGATGAATGTCACTTTGCTGTATAATTAGAGCAATCAATATAACCCAAAGGGATGATGGACTTGTCTTTGCTAGATAAGATCAAGGAAATATTGAATATAAATTTGAATTTCATGGCCTAGGCAGTCTCTTTCAGTTCTATGATTCTATTTACAATTCTATTTATCACTGGCATGAATTCCCCTAGTTTATGGGAAATTATTAAGCTATGTATGAAAGTTGCTGTTCTGTATTTTGTCTGATTTTGGAGATAAGGCATAGCTATGGTTTTTTGTCCTCCATGTCTCTGTCTAATTTACTTCATATACTAAAGTGTATAATGTATAGTGGTGATTTCATATTGACTATCATATTTCTTACTGAAACATGGAAAGAAATGGATATACTGGAAAATAAATTAATTGATGAGGAAGGTAGGACCAATGTATCCTTACTTTTTGGACTGTAAAAGTACGTATGACATATTCTGCCAATGGTTCTGTCTCAATTAAGGTCACTTTGATATCTCCATAGACTTCTGTGTCATCAGGCCAGTATCTGACACACTTCACCTATAGAGGGGAAAGTCACAAAAGTAAAAATTAATGTATGATGTTGAGCTGTAAGACAGTGTTTTCTAGGTCCAGATATGGTCCTAAAATGTACATTCCTGTAGAAGAAGAAATCAGAAGACCTCTCACATACATGGTTGTCTGCATCAATTATTAGTAATCCAGAAAGGACTCAGAATAATAAGTATTGATGATTTATTTGTTTTGGTATTAGTGTTTGACATATGAAACCCATTTGTTTTTGGAAACCTTTTTCAGCCTATATTTGCAGTACTTCACTTTGAATTAGACCAGTAATATACTTATATGGAAACATAATTATACATATATGAATAGTGATACATGAACAAATTCTATTATCATTCCGCTAGTGTTTACCAACCAATTTGCAAATAGCCAAACTTGCTATCCTAACAATATTTATCATGATAAAATAATGATCTACATTAAAGTTGGGGAAATGATAGCATAAAATATTGTTCATTCACTGAATTGTTAATTCTGACTTTACTGTAGGTAAAATAAGGAAAGAGAGAAGGAATCTAGTCTAAACTTGTCAGAACTGAAATCTGTACACAATAAAATTCAATAAATGGGGGGGGGGGGAGGTGACATTAGGAAAGTTGAGTGAAAAAGAAAGAAGGTGATGAGAAAGAAATTACCTAATGTTAGGTAAATTGCCCAATTACCTAACATTAGGTAATTGGGGAAAATTGCTACTCTTATAAAATCCAATTAGATAAAGAGCCTTTTTGTATTGCGAGGTTATGTGCCATCCAATCAGTATCAACTCTTAGTCAGGAGTGGGATGCTACCAGTTCAGCCCGGTTCTATAGAACCAGTATCTGCGAAGAGCAGCTCACACTGCACCACTTCAGTGTTTGTCCCACCTGCCTGCCCGGGCTCTAGGCTGTCGATTATTCCCTGCTTTTCCCTCCTCAGCTGCTTTGCATGGCACAGCTGAGATTGAAAAAGCAGGAAACAAGAGGATTTTCAAATGAGCGCAGCACTTGTCAGCTGTCCAGGCAGCAGAGCTGATTTCTTGCAAACGCCGCACACAGGAGAACTAGCAAATCGCTCCACTGGCTGAACCCTCCCTCCTTACCCACTCACTCCTTACCTGGCCTGTGAGCCATACAACTTGCCTGGTTTGGTAAGTTGCTATTTTTCCTTTTTTTCCCCCCGACCATCAGGTGTTCTGCTCAGCTGGGAGATTTAGATTAGCTAGAAAGCAGGAAATCCTTGGATTTCTTGCTTTCTAGCTAATCTAAAAGCAGAGCCGAACCTTCCTTAGGACTCAAGCTTCTACTTTTCAGTGCAGACTCAGGTAGCCGATTGCAGATGGATAGATTTCTAAGTGAATCTGTGATTCTGTGAGCAACTCAATTTGCCTGCCTGCTTTGCCTGCTCTTGGGTAAAAGTTGCTCTCTTTTTTATAAAAAAGATTCAATATTTACATACATGGTGTATTGTGAGTTAATTTTGTCAGTTTACTTGCAAGCAAATTTTATGTGACAGACCCAGGTAGCTGATTGCAGATAGATAGATCTCTAAGTGAATCTGTAATTCTGTGAGCAACTTAATCTGCCTGGCTGCTTTGCCTGCTTTTGGGTAAAAGTTGCTCTTTTTTATTAAAAAAAAATCAATATTTACATAAATATTTATAATATTTACATACAAGCCATGCCCACCAGTCACATGACCACCAAGTCATGCCCACAAATTAGGCCACACCCACAGAATGGGTTGTTAAGAAATTTGAATCCCACCCCTGCTCTTATTATATATTCACCGTTCTTCAGAATGATCTGGATAGATTCTCCAGGTCTCTTAATGGTGTATCCATTACTGCAGTAATTAAATTCATCCACTTTGATCCTGGTCATTGTCTTCTTTTTCTTTCTACATTTCCCAATGTTGTGGAAATATTATGATCTTTGCATTTAAAATTGGCCATTTGTGTCTCAAATGAAAACTCTCAGTTGATTTATTCTGTGACCCATTTATTTGTTTTCTTGGCTACCTATGGTATTCTCAGGAATCTTCCTCAATGCCATAGTTCATAAAACATCAATATTCTTTTTATCCTTTTTCTTCAAAGTTGAACTTTGACATGCATAGAGTGTGATAGGGAAACCATTGCCTGCATGGTTCTGATCTTTAGAAATATAGGCATATTATAGAATGTGAATATTTCTTCCATGACTTTTATTCTTACCCTACCAAGTGCTAGGCTGCAGAATGTTTCTTGACTTCTGGATGCCTGACTTCTGCTCCTATTAATAATTGATCTTTTAAAAATAGAAGGTGTCTATCACCTCAGTGTCTTCATTGTCAATTCTAAATCTGGCTGTGGTACTATTATTAGTTTGATCTTTATATCTAATCATAGTCCTCCTTTTTTACTTAATTCTATTTCTTTTATTACTAGAAATTGCAGATTATTTGTTTTTTAGCTATCAGAATACTTTAGGTTTTCCTCCAATTTAAAGCCAAATTCATCCATTTGAAATTAACCTCCCTTAGTATATATTCAATCTATATTTATATAGATTAAAACATTAAGTGTATACCGCTTTAACTCACTCCTTTGCTAACTGTTTAATTTTTATCATTGTTGATTTCATAAAAGGCAGGCACAACCACATACCTCTACAAATTATGGATTCACCTTTCCAGGTGGTTAGCAGCATCACGTTTCTGGGTGTGTAGCTAATGGCTAGACTAGCTAGGTAGCTCAACATTGAGAGACACTGGTGAAGCAAGCACAGCAGCAGCTGCATTTTCTGCATCACATGAGAAAAGTTTATCTTCTTTCCCCTGTCTTTACCAATTTTATAGATTGAGAGCATTCTGTCATATTGCAGAACTGTCTGGCTTAGAAGCATTACTGCTTCAGACAGGAAGTCAGTGCAGAGAGTGGTGAGGATGGCAGAAAAGATCATTGGTAGTTCACTTCCTTCTGCCTATGACATAGCAAATAAGTAATGCTTGAGCAGAGTCTGCAGGATTGTCTGGGACACTACACATCTTCTTCACAAACTGTTTTCCCTGTTACCTTCTGGGAGGAGGCTTCATGGTATCTGAAGTAGAACATCTAGATTCAGTCATAGTTTTGTTCCATATAGCATCAACCTTTTGAATGCTCAGGTTTCTTCTTTCTGCTACATAAATATGTGTATGTGTGTGTTGTGTATGTGTTTGGGTAGATATATACTTTCTCTTGAGACTAGGCAACATAATTTCATTTTTAATGTGGGTCAATGTGCTCACAATGAAAAAAATGACTCTTCTCACCTCACCTCACCTCACTTCATCACATCACATCACATCACATCACCTCATCTCATCTCATCTCATCTAATCTTCATTGTCTTTTATACCAGAGGGCAAGTATTGTATTTGTTCAAATGCTTTAAAATTTGGGAAAACAGAATAACGTAGACTAGAAGTGATATTGTACATTACTGCAAGATAAGATTGCCTGAAAAGTTTGATCTGTGTGCAATGCAATATGAACTTACGCTGGTTTTCATCTAATGTGCAGATTAAAATGTAATTATAGTTCAGACCTCATTAAATTCTGAGTTCTTAGCTCAAACATTTATTTAAAAACATGTTTTGTAGGTTTAGAAATGCAGTTAGCAAATTTATTCATTTATTATTGTGATATAACACCAAAATGTTTTTTTTAAATTGGTATTTAAATGCGAATATGAAGTAGATTTTGAATATATTGCCACTTAATGTGTCAGTGGGGTAATGAAGCCTTCCAACTGAGAATATATAAGAATGATATGAACCACAATACATGACTGATAACTTTGGAAATTAATAACTTACCCTGCCAACTTCCACCAGGTTAGTGACCATGACAACACTCGCTGAATTCTCCTGCCAGATCATCCTCCAAAAATCCTTCACTGTCTCTTGCATTGGCCCTGAAGGCAGAACAAGTAAAACAAAAGAGATATTCCAAAGATTACTTTAGCAGAAATATTTCAATTTACTTGTCTGTCTGCCAACTGCCCTTCTACTACCGAAAGTACTGTGTGCCTGCTTATTTTCTTAGGAGAGGTCTGAAGAGCTATATATTGAATCATTGTAAGTAAGTAGGATTTAGAATACTGTGCTAAACTTTAATTTAGTACCACAAACAGATATAAATACTCATAACTGAAGGTCACTTTGGAGTAATACATGAGGCAAATATAGAATATTAATTTATGCTGGTACACATTGCTAGGTCTGGTAAGAATATGTACAAAATATAAATGGCACCAAGAATTCTAAATGCACCCTCAATTATAGGGTGAGATGTTAGGTGATAACACTCCTGGGTCATATTTTAATTACCAAAATGAATGTGTGATTTTTTAACAGAAATCTTTTCATTGCCTTTGAGAATTGGGTGCTAGGTTCTGCTTTTCATACTTCTGATTGTGTTTTTATCTCCTTTTTAAAAAACTGTATTGGAAATGTGTGAAAAAAAGCCATTTTGAAAAAAAAATAAAATTAAAGGATGGAACACAAGTTTAATTAATTACAAAGGAATCTTACTGACTGCAATATGATTCCTATGAAACTAAGGGCAACACATGTGAACTTTCAATTATTATGCATAATTGGTGTGTATTAATCATCCTGAACTCAATGCTAATGTCAAAACATAAACTCTTATTTTTATCTTTAGAAACATGCCTTTAGAAACTTATTCTAAGATAACATGTCCAAAAAGAAAATTTTAAATGTAAGAATTCATACTGTTATTAAATAAATCATAATTAATTTGAAAAAAGAACTTTTAAATGAATCTATGTTAAAATGGCAAAGATCAGAGGTGGTATTCAGCAGGGCCTGACCAGTTCTGGAAAACCGGTAGCGGAAATTTTGAGTAGTTTGGAGAACCATCAAATACCACCTTTGACTGGAGATTTTACAGTATCCTTCCCCTGCCACGCCCACCAAGCCACGCCCACAGAACCAGTAGTAAAAAAAAATATGAATCCCACCACTTGCAAAGATGAATAATAAATTAAATACATCTCTACTGTACTTTGCCCTAAAGCACTTACAATGATTTATCTTCCAAATTGATTGTACTACCAGCTTTCAGGCATCTTTATACCTTCTATTTATTATTTTTATGCAACCTTTGGATCCTGTCATTTGGACCACACACTGATTCTGTGATATTTACCTTGAGTTGCAATGTAATGGTGAGGCCGATGGTAACCCTAAAATGACAAGGAAGGAAAACCCATGAATTTCAATTTCAGGCACAATTCAGATATGCATTTGACAAGTTAAAAGTTTGCTTAAAATCACAAAAATGAACACATCTGGAGTAGGAAAAGGGATATGAAAATTGCATTTCCCCTGTATCCCCAGTACAGAGGCAGAAAATCTTCAATCATTCAATTATTAGAATTAGAGTATGAATTAGAGGAAGGGTAGTAATGAAGACCCAGTATCTGGATGCTTGGGACAGACAAAAGGACAGGTAAAATCTCCAGACTGTATTTTACAAGTCATCTGGAAAACAAATGCGGTTTTCTCAAGATGACCACTGCAGACCTTTAAAGACAATATCTGAGCTGAGATACAAAAAGAGTCCCCAAAATGTTAAGTTATGTAATACTACTCTGAATGAAAAGGAAGCATAGTTTCATTCATAGTAACATGAATTATTTATAGTAGGAACTGCCTCAGATTTCCTGGTAGTTCTAAAAATCCTGAAACCATTTATATATCAGTAAGAAAGAAGATCTATGACTAGGGATAAAAACTAGACCCTACTGTCATATTATCTTCCTAAACCATATTCACTTTAGGATTTAGTTTATCTTCTATGCTAACAAAGCAAATTTGGAGAAACGTGTCCCTCATCTGTGGCACACACATCTGTTTCTTGTCGAAGCAGAAAAAATCATTAGCTTGTGTGTGGATTTTTTTTTTTTAAGGAAATCATGTAGTATATACATTTTTACATGTTTTCCCTTTTCTTAATTGGGGATCTTTTAAAAACACTGTGATTTAAATGACAATTATAGAGACTTACATGAAAAAAAGGATGTGCTTTGCTAGAAGTTACAGACTTCATTTGCTTCAAAATTCAGTTTTTTTTATTAGTCAGATGAGTATATTTAATTTGTTAACTTTATCCTTCTCTCTGGTTTTTAATTTCACAAAATCTCTTCAGGATACTTTATATATAGATTTACAATAAATTCTTTGCACTTCAAGTGTCTGATCTTTTTTCAACAATCATCACATTGATCAATATGGTTACACTTCTAATGTTAACATGGGGCAGTTGGGAGCATGGGAAGAAGAAAAACTGCAACTACAATATATTATTTTTCCAAAATTCAAGCAAGGCTATTTAGACATTGGCATTTGAAGGCATTTCATTCCTTTGTATGGTTTACCTAGCAGTAAATTCCACTGATCTCACAACGTTCTTAAATGTTAAACTAACTAAAATTCTAAGATTGTGAAGGGTGATTGCTGGTTAGAATAGACAATATTAAACAAGGAATGAAAAATACTTTGGAAAGATGAGCAAATAATCTGACACAGAATGAGGCACTTTCCTATGCTCATAAAACAATATAAAATATAAATTCAATCCCATTCAATCCAATTCTCATTCAAACAAAGATAGTCAAAAACTGAGAAAATTGCAAGCATAGCATGAGCCATTCTTATTTGATTAGTTAATTGATTAGTGAGTCATTAATTTGTATTGGCTTTGGGATGAAAATTTTGATCCAAACATTGTAAATTCTTCTTCTATTTGTTGTTGGTTTTTGTTTGTTTGTTTTACAAAATTATATTTGAAAAAATGTGTCTGATTCTTCACATCCTGGACTTTATCTTATGGTATGTGATTTATAATTTATTTTAATTTAGAATAGAATAGAATAGAATAGAATAGAATAGAATAGAATAGAATAGAATACTTTATTGGCCAAATATGATTGGATGTTCTAATTACTTCTAGAGAAATTTAGTGGAACATTTGTTCATAAATTGTATTGACTAGTATACTGCTACTATCTCCTACCACAATATAGTTATTTAAACCTAATGCATCCCACTAAGTAAGACTCACACCCAAAGACAATTTGCTTAGTGATTCTTCAAATAGACACCTCTCTATGCAAAAATATTTTCTTACAACACTTACGTCAATATAATTTGCATTAATGTAATCTGAATGAGGATCTCCATCTAGTAACTGCAGTCTCACCCTGGAGTGATCATCTGAAAATAATCAGAAGAAAGTGTTAAATATTAAATAAAGGAACATTAAACCAAAACAAATAAGAATGAAAACATGTGCAATATACAAATATACAAACTAGGAAGATGTTTTCATGTTTATGTTTCCATTTAAATGTATATAACATTGGTTCCAAATACCATGGTTAAACTATCCATCAATATGTTTACTGTGTACTTTGCTGTAAATACTGATTTGTTAAAGCACTGCTTGAACTTAAAATAATCTGAATCTGGTACAGGTTTTATACTATGGTATATGTTGAACCATATTTTGAATCATTGCATAAGATAATATAAACCACACAAATCACACAGGTGCCTGAACATTGTCATTTTTAAAAAGTAAGATGATGAGAGATGCTTAGATTTTCAGTGATATTTGGATATTTGACTTTGATTTTATATTTCTGTTGTTAATTACCAAGATAGATACATAGTAGATATGCATACAGTATAAATAGAATGGATCATCTGTATTAGATGATACCTTAGTATCTGCTTATATTAAAATTCACTGACAGAGGGAATCAGCCATGAAACAACATATAGGTTTTAGTCTGGCCTTTAGTCTTTGTTTAAAGACAAGGAAGTAGGAGAATAGATGAATCAGAGGAGATCCAGCCAATTTATGCTATTAGTTTTAAGTGCCATCTGCTCTTGCACAAAGCTCAGCCTTTTTTGTTTTAATGTACATTTGCTGACAATACAACACTTAGATAGACAGAATATGAGTCAATTTCAACTGAATATGGAAAGGATTTTACAATGCCAATTTTAAGACATATCTATTGCAATGATGGCAGCAAAAAACTTTTTTTTGTCATCAATTTTATACCATAATGCCTTGCAATAGTTATCCTTCTTAATATTCAGTTTTCTTATTAAGATTTTAAGTAAGAGTTATGAGATTTTGGTTTCTATATGAATTTGCTTTGGTCACAAAAGTGAGAATAAAATAATATTTTGTTTATAAAGCAAGCCTGTAAAATTCTAGTTATCAGAAGTCATGAAGTTGCAGTGGTTAGAATATAATGTGGTTGGTAAAATGAGGACCCTCATTACAAGGGCAATATGCTGACATTGTAAACCATTCAGACAGTGTTGTAAAGCACTGTGGAGTAGGATATAAGTCCAAATGCTATTGCTATCATTTGAGGAGACAGCAAGATTCAGAAATATGATGACAAGCTGGAAAAATGGGCAGAAACCAGTAGCATTAAGTTTAATAGGGAAAAATGCAAACACAAACATTTGGTAGGAAAAAGTTAAGACATTAGTATAGGAGGATGGGAGGAGACTGGGAAGTAGTGAATGTGTAAAGGATCTAGAAATTGTGTTTGAGCTGAGCACAAATTCTCCGAGTGATGCAGCTACAGAAGAGCAAATACAATCTTAGCTGTATTAACAGAATTATAGTGTCAAGATTGTCTCTATTCTGCAGACAACACTCAGAATATTGTATCTTGTTCTGGGCATTGTGTTAGAAAGAACACTGAGAAACTATAGCATGATCATAAAAGTGTAAGCAAGATGATAGGAAGCCAACAAGGATAACAGTTGGAGATGCTGTATTAATTACAGTATGTTTAACTTGGAGAAGATAAAACTATGGTAGTTATCTTCAAACATCTGAAGGATTGTTTGAAGATGCATCAGAATTCTGAATTGTTCAGAATTGTTTCAAATTAATTTAAATCACAAGAAATGGAATTTTTACTAGCTGGTAAAATTAATTTTCAATATTTCTGCATAAATATGACCTAAAACGTGATCTGTGTTGGTAGTGTTGGAACATTTTCCTCAATAAATAAATGAACAAGTGCAATGCTTTTTAATTGTTTAATTGGGTTCTCTGTGTAGGACTTGTGTAGAGAACAGATAATATTTTAGGTTATACTGTATGTAAGCAGAAATATTGAAATACAAAAGGGTTGACAAACTTTTAAGCCCCATACTATGTTGCAGTCTTGCATAATTCAGAGCAGTGGTTATTCAACATGAGAGACACTGCTGAAAATAAGGCCCAGCTGTTTGTCATTATCACACCAAAAGTGCAAGCCTTGACATAGGCAACATTGATATACTGTATATAGCAGGAGGATCCAAGTTTATGTACATTTTGTATATTGATACAGATAGTCCGTGACTTATAACTGATTGCTTTTAGCCATTTGAAATTACAATGAACTTTTATCTATAACTGGACCTCGAAGTTATGATTGCTGCACCTCCCCTGAGGTCACATGATCACATTTTAAGCACTTTGCAACTGGTTTGCATTTATGATCAGTTGCAGTATCCATGGTCACATGATCACATGTGATGACATATTTTGGCAAAAAATGGCAAAAATGTCCATTGGGCAAAATGGGTTTGCACATACAACCATGGAGTTTGCTTAACTATTGCCATTGTAAAATTGAGCCCAGTCATATGATGCTCTGATTTATGGCATCAATGACTTACAATCAAAATTCCGGTCCCACGTAAGGTTTTAATTCAAGAACTACCTATATATTTTTCATACTATTAATAATATTAGTTTTTGTAAATTAATTCTGGGTCATAATTTTGGAGAAATTACAACTGATTACTCTGAGAATAGATTACTCTGTGTGAACTAAATGTGTGATTTTATTGAGATTATAGAATTTTTCTGTAAACTGCTTTGAGCATAGTGTACTGTATTTATAGAAAATGCCATAGTTAACATTATTACAACCAAATAGATCATGCAAAAACAAGCATCCATTTATAAAGTGATATAAATTGACAAAATAATCTCCAAATATCAACTACTTCATAGTTAGAAAAAAATAGGGCAGCTACTTTGTGTCTACCAAGTGATGGTCCCCTGTTTTTTAATTGTTGTGCCTACAAGTCACCTTGCACATAATATGTTATATATGTCTCTCTGGATTCTGATCGGTTTGCAACATATCAGATACACTCATGCCAGGAATTGCTATAAATTAGTAAAAATGTTAAAATTATTACATAGTTATAATTTCAATCTTAATTTTTTGGAACAGGTCAAAAACTAGTGGACTGATTTTCAATCTGCCTACAAAATAAAATGCACACAATATAGTTGCCCAGATTACATGGGAATGGCATCCATAATTAATTTAAATAAGTGAATGAATAACATAATAATAAATCAAAGCATAGCATAGCAAAAAAATTCCAGTAACACCCCCCCGCCAAAAAAAAATCAAAGGTGTTCTGAGTTATCAGATTTGAACTTTTGATTCACTTTTGATTCAGTATTGCAGTGAGTATAGCCCCATGCTTCCTATTATATTTATGTTCTGAATTTAATGTTCAATACCCTCCCCCCCCCCCAAAAAAAATTATCAGCGTTTGCAATAAAATAAAAATTACAATATAAATGTCAAAGTGTTAACAGTAAGAGGTACCTTTCATTATCTCATGTATCAACACTGTTATGTAACCTGCATTGGCTGCCAGACACTTTCTGGGTACAATTCAAGATGCTGGTTGTTAACTTACAAAACTCTTAACTGTGTTGCCTATCACCAATTATTCCTGCTGACCTAATATATTCAAACCCGTGGTTCTCTCTCTTAAACCTTGTCATCTTGCAGGGCCAAAGAAATATTCTGTCTATGCCCCTCCCATTTCTGGAAAAGCATGAGAAGCATCCATACTCTGAAACAATTCTGGAAGGCTTACAAACCTAGCTCTGTTCCAGGGACTGGAATGAATGTGGTTATGAGTCCCTTACTGTTTATTTTTACACTTACTCTTATGGTATATGATATAACTGTGGCTGTTTTAGCTTGGGCTCTCTGTTTTAAGTTTAAAATTTTTAATATATATATTTGTTAAAGATTTTTAAAAACTAACCCAAGCTAATATGAAGAAAGAAAAAGGAAAAGAAAGAGAAATCAAAGAGAAATCCCAAAAAGGAAAGAAAGAAAAAAAATCTGTAAAGCTTCCAATTTCTGTACAGCAGTTATTGCTACAATTAAAACTTACTTGATGGGTACAAAATACCTGTCTTCTTTCTACAATTTATTAAGTTTAATTATTAAAACCATAAATCATAAGCTCAGCTTTTTTCTCTTTCCTGCAAAACACCTGTAAGGGATTTCCAGTTAGCAATACATGTAGTTACAGTCTTTCTCTGATCAAAGAAGTCAAGTTTCATCGTTTTCAGCAGCCATTCCTTCATAATGCATAATTCAGGTAATGCTGAATCTTTCCATCTTTCTCCATGTCAGAATCTTACTCCAGTTGTCACGTACAAAAACAAAGTTCCATGACTTTTTCCACCAACTGTTTGTCCACCAGTCCCAAAAGAAAAATCATTGATTTCATTTGTATACTCATCCTTAAGATCCTCTGAATTACAGCATTCTTGAATTTAGAATTTTCTAGCTTTATTACATGTCCACCACAGACGATAAATAGTCCCTTCTTGTTGTTCATAATTCCAGCATCATTTTGAGGTGTTTTTTATACATTCTAAATAATTTCTCTGGTGACAAATACCAATCATACAGCATTTTACAAAAATTCTCTTTAATATTATAACATAGTGTAAATTTCAATCCTTTCAACCACATATTTCCCCTTGATACAGCTAGATATTATAACCAAAATATTAAGCTCACTTTATCATGCAATGTTTCACTTGTTCTTCAGTTTCCAATTTCAATAAAAGTTTGTACATTTTAGCAATTACATATGTTCATCATTTGTACACAGTTCCATTTTATACTCAGTCTTAAAATGTCCAAAACCTTGAATTATTTTATCTACTTTAAATCTTTCTAATAATTGTAAATTAAAAAAAAACATGTACAATTATATTCTCCTGCCCCTCCCAGTTCTTGTTTTGATTTTGTTTACATTTTTCTTGACAATATTCTCGCATCTGACAGTAGGTTGCTAATTTGTATTTGCTTATTATTTTTCATCTGTAATATGATTCTTGTTCTGAGAGCTGCAGAAGTGTTTTTCAGGCATAATCTGGGTTTTTCTATTCCATATTCTCAATATGGCATAACTGCATAACATAAGGTTTTTAAAATTCATGTTGACCTTCACTTTATTGTACCACAAATATTCATGCCACTTTGTCCTTCTATGCCCAAAAGCCTTCTATTTCTCAACAACATCCATTCTTTCATCCAAATCAAAAAGCAAAGTGTAAAATACAATTTCAAGTTAATCAAATCCAGGCCCCCTCTTTCCTTTGCATCTTGCAGCATCTTATATTAACTCATATATCATTCTATTACTGGTGCATCAATTTCAATAAAAGTATTCTCTGAAACAAAAACATTCTAGATAAAACATTCATTTTTATCACAGAAATTTCCCCCAACAATGATAGTTGTATTTTGCCATGTGTTAATATATCCTTTTTTAACTTAATTCCATACCTTAACATAATTATTTTGAAATTAACATGTGGTTCATATTTATCATAATGATACACAATATTTTACCACTTTCTCAGTCTTAAAACATATTTTATTTATCACTTCTCTTCAATTTTTATTGTTTATTAATGTTAAAAACTATTGTTCCACATTCTTTAATTTGTCCATTAATATTTTAAATCCCTTTAAAGCATCTTCCAGAATCAAAACCAAGGCATTTGCAAAAGCCCTTAATTTCTAAGTTTATTTTTTAAATCTTTATTTCTTCATTTCTCTCATCTTGTCTTACATCTCTATTCAATATTTCCAGAAGTAAAATAAATTAGAGAAGGGGCAGTGGTCATCCCTGCCTTGTTCTTGTATCTCACAGCCATTAACAATTACTTATACTGTCTTATCCATTTTATTAAGTTCACTCCAAAATCCATAACTTCTAAAACTTTAAACAAAAAAGCCCAATTCAAATTGTCAAAGGCCTTTTCTGCATCTAAGAAGATCAGTGCAGTTTAATTTTTTTATTATGTTACTCCACGTAAAAATCCACAAAATTATTGTCTATTAGCCAGAAACATTTTAAACAATTTGTAGTTATTTACAATGCAACAAGTAAATAATGAAATCAGCCTATAGTCTCCAGCAAAAGTCAGATCTTGTCCCTTTTTAGATATTAATTGGTATTGATCTCTTTCCAGTGTTCTGGTAGCTTTCCGCTTGCAGGATAGAGTTCATTGTGTATTGCAATGGTTGAAAAAATTAATTCCAAGAACATTTATAATTAGAACCTGATAATCCATCTGGTTCTGGTTCAAGAATCCTTCCTAATTTAATCTTTTTATAGATTCAGAAATGTCTTGTATTATTCATAATCTATCCTCAGTAAGTTTTGTTTCTTTAGATATTCATCTATTTTCTCTGGAGAGATGTCATTTCTTTTATACAAATCATAATAATATTGATGAGATACTTTTTGCATGGCCACATTGCCATTAACACCATATCTCTCTATTGTAATTTCAATATGATTTCCTTTTCCTTTTTGTAATTGATATGCTACCCTCTTTTCAGATTTACTTGAAAGCTCAACTTTTTTTGCTTTACATAATTCATTTTTATTTCCATTTCTCTTACTGTTAACATACATAATTGCCATTGAAAATGTTTAATTTGTTAAAGAGCACTTGTCTTATCTGGATAATTCTTTCGTTCTTTTTTTCTCTTTACTTCATCCAAAATAGCAGTCATGTTTTTTTAATGCTCATTTGGAATTTGTACCCAGACTCTATTGGAGTGGAGTAAATAATAATAGTGAAATAGACAAAGTAATAGAAAATGAAGATGCTAAAGTACTCTGGGACTTGAGAATTCAAACAGACAAGCACCTGCCACATAAAGACTTAGCAATTGTTGATAAGAAAAACAAAAAGGTAAGGACGTGACAGTACCTGGAGACAGCAGAATAGAAAGGCAAAACCCAGAGAAAATCACAAGATACAAAAACCTGCAATTCCAAAATATTTGAAGCACCATTTGAACACCACGAGCATTGACAAAATCACTACAAGTCAATTGTAAAATGCTTTACTAGTTGCAGCTTACTCCCTGCATCCATACATTTAATACCATTTAACAATAATATATGCCTACTCCAGGTCCTTGGGAAGGACTTGGTAGGTGGACAAAAATGCCAGATCAAGTCTAACCATGTGGCTGACTGCCACCAAGCACCACCCCCAATCATTGTCACACAGATGAAAATCATTCTCAATTACCTCTTACAAGGTGGGTAGCCATTATACTTCCAGTCCTCCAAAAGAATTCTCAGACAGTTAATAGCCTTCCTTCATAACAGCTTTAGTACTAATCTGTCTTTGGATGGAAGATCCAACAAAGCTTTACGTCACTTATGACACAATTTTGTTTTTTTTTAAATATTCCTACTATTTCTAAGAAATGCCATTAATTGCTTCCTTAATTGAAATCAGCAATTATTCCAGGAGAAAAAGTAATTACCTTGTTATCTATTTTCCATACTTTTACATTCATAAGCTCACATGTCTATTTTGTCATTCATTTTAGCAGTGGTTAAGTTTCTTCCTTTACTGAACAATGGTTCAACTTTGTGAACATTCTTCTAAAGGTTAATATCCTTTTAATCAGTTTGATATTGCTTTCTTGGCACTTTCTAGCTACCTACCTTGCGTTCAATGTTCTATGTCCCATTAACACACTCAGTAAATAAATTATCATTCCTCCTTTGTGCTGTTATACAAATTTGCTTACATATCCTGGATTCAATTTATTTTAATTTATATGTACTAGAAGCTGTGTTGTGGTTTAAGTCAGACAGCTAGGTTGCATTTGTATCCTTAAAATACATTACATGAGCCTTTAAAGCATTTTTAAAGCATTATCATTTGTGCAGCTGATAATTTGTGCATTATCATTTTGAACTGAAGTGGAAAAGGTGTTTTTGAATGTGACTATTTGCACTTCCTTAAAGAGAATGCAATTTATTAGTTCATCTAGGAGCCACATAGTTCCAGAAGAATACATACTGAATTAAGGAGCACTAACATTACATGAAACACCAGTAAAAAAAAGTGTGGCTTTTTAGGGAAGCATCAATAACAGAATAAAAGAGTTGGAAGGGACCTTGGAGGTTTTTTAGTCCAACCTGCTGCTTGGGCAGGACACCCTACACCATTCCAATAGTTGTCCAATCTTTTCTTAAAAACCCCAATGTTGGAACACCCACAACTTCTGAGACCAAGTTATTCCACTGATTAATTGTTCTAACTGTCAGAAAATTTCTCCTTAGTTCTAGATTGCTTCTTTCCTTGATTAGCTTCCATCCATTGCTTCTTGCCCTGGGGTGTCTGGGAGAATAGCCTGACTCCCTCTTCTCTGTGGCAACCTCTGAGATATTGGAATATGTCTCCCTCAGTCTTTCTTTTCATTAAGCTGACATACCCAATTCTAGCAACCATTCTTAATATGTTTTATCCTCCAGTCCCCTTGCTACACCATCAACAGGTATAGCAAGTGTGTCCAAATCCTCTCCAAAGCTTTTCCACTTTGAATTAAAGTAATTCTGCATAGTGTTGTGTTATATGTATTATGCTATTATTTAACATTATATTATTATATCTTACATTATACCTTATAAAATTAGTGAACATAATATAATTACAGTGCAGTCTTATACATGTTCTATTCTGACTAAATTCTGAAACTTTTTTTTTGACACATGTGGGTGGAACAATGCTTTCTAGAGATATCATAGGATTTATGACATTTTAGAATAAGTGCATGAATGATAATTTTTAAATTTCTTTTCTAAAGTGACAAAAATAAGATTAAACAATTGTCCTAAGTCACAACTTAACAACACAGAGCAATTGTGAAAATCTAGCTGCCATACTACTGGTAATATTGCAATACAAATATTGGTTTCACTGTGCAATCCAAAACAATGTGAACAAATATGTAGAAGTCTCTCAAATGTGGTAGCCCTGTTTTTTATAACTGCAGGCATAATTTTGGTGAGCTGTTATATACTAGCTAGTTTATGGACTGAGATTGATAGAGAAGTCCTGTTTATGATTCCTTCTTTGTATATGGACTAGTTAATTTATTTTGGGTTTTCTTGGTGATAAGATCCCATCTGTGGAATTTGCTTACCTGAAGGTGACACCAACATCCCCAATAGAAAAATTGATCAACAGCTCTGCTTGCATTTTGCCCTGAAGAAAATAGATTCCTGACCAACACAAAGCCCTAGGCTCAGCTGGGAAAAGACCTTGATGTCATGAAATTGATGCTCCCCTACCTCTTTTCCCAGATGTCTTCAATGTATGAGAATGCCAGCCCCGCACCCCCAAAAGCAGATTTTTTTTGTCACTTGAATCCACTGAAACTAATGTACCTATACAAACAACAATAAATCAATGAAAAAATTGGGGGAAGTGGGGAACACTAACACAAAGCTCTTATTAAGCTGAAATGTTCCAAAGACTAGGAAGTTATTCTTTGTTACAGTTATGCTCTTATACATATAAGATGCTTACAGATACACACAGGAAGTTCAGTTCAGTTTGAATTTGCACCTACAGGAGATGATGTTGCCATATCTATTCTTATTGCGGTTTTCATCTTCTTTGGCGGTGTCCCAAGATGCTGTCTGGCCTTCAGGTAGAGCCTGCAAATTAAAAAGTGGAATATTTATAAAATTGGGAAGACCTTCAGTTTTTTTTTTTAACTTAATGAAGTAGAGGGCAGGAGAAAGGCAGCATATAATTTAGCACTCTGCCAAGACAACTGCTTCCTGAGAAAAACAACAAATGAACAATCATGAAGAGTCCATGAACAATAATGAAGAGTCCTATGGCTTATGTAATTTATAAAAGGCTACACTAATGTAATTGGAACAAAAACAATTGGAAGGATTTTGCTTCTACTTATGTATTATTTTTACTGATGAAAGAGAGTCCGGACAGGTATTGTTATTATTGTCATTATGATGCCATCTCTAACAAAGAGATGGGGGTTATCTCTCTCATGTCCATATGATATATCAGGATACATATGCAGCATTTAAACTGAGGCCAAAAACTGTGCTAAAAATAAAATAATAAAAGCACCTGGTAGTATAGGCGTTTCCGTATAAGTCTCCCATTATAAACATAGATATACAGGTGAAACTCAAAAAATTAGAATATCATGCAAAAGTTCATTTATTTCAGTAATGCAACTTAAAAGGTGAAACTAATACTGTATATGAGATAGACCCATTACATGCAAAGCAAGATAGTTCAAGTCGTGATGTGTCATAATTGAGATGATTATGGCTTACAGATCATGAAAACCCCAAATCTACAATCTCAGAAAATTAGAATATTGTGAAAAGGGTCAATATTCTAGGCTCAAAGTGTCCCACACTAATCAGCTAATTAAGCCGTAACACCTGCAAAGGGTTCCTGAGCCTTTAAATGGTCTCTCAGTCTGGTACAATATGAATCACAATCATGGGAAAGACTGCTGACCTGACAGTTGTGCAGAAAACCATCATTGACACCCTCCATAAGGAGGGAAAACCTCAAAAGGTAATTGCAAAAGAAGTTGGATGTTTCCAAAGTGCTGTATCAAAGCACATTAATAGAAAGTTATGTGGAAGGGAAAAGTGTGGAAGAAAATGTTGCATAAGCAGTAGGGATGACCGCAGCCTGGAGAGGATTGTCAGGAAAAGGCCATTCAAAAGTGTTGGGGACTTTCACAAGGAGTGGACTGAGGCTGGAGTCAGTGCATCAAGAGCCACCACACACAGATGGGTCCTAGACATGGGCTTCTAATGTCATATTCCTCTTGTCAAGCCTCTCCTGAACAACAAACAACATCAGAAGCGTCTTACCTGGGCTAAAGAAAAACAGACCTGGTCTGTTGCTCATTGGTCCAAAGTCCTCTTTTATGATGAGAGCAACTTTTGCATCTCATTTGGAAACCAAGGACCAAGAGTTTGGAGGAAGAATGTAGAGGCACACACTGCATGCTTGAAGTCCAGTGTGAAGTTTCCATAGTCTGTGTTGATTTGGAAAGTCATGTCATCTGCTGATGTTGGTCCACTGTACTTCATTAAGTCCAGGGTCAACACAGCCGTCTACCAGGAGATTTTGGAGCACTTCATGCTTCCTTCCACAGACAAGCTTTATGGGGATGCTGACTTCATTTTCCAGCAGGACTTGGCACCTGCCCACACTGCCAAAAGCACCAAACCTGGTTCAATGACCATGGGATTACTGTGCTTGATTGGTCAGCAAACTCACCTGAACTGAACATCATAGAGAATCTATGGGGCATTGCCAAGAGAAAGATGAGAGACATGAGACCAAACAATGCAGGAGAGCTATTGACACATCCTGGTCTTCCATAACACCTCAGCAGTGTAACAGGCTGATAGCTTCCATGCCACACTGTATTGAGGCAGTAATTGCTGCAAAAGGGGCCCAAACCAAGTATGCATGCTTATACTTTTTAGAGGTCCGATATTGTTCTATGTACAATCCTTGCTTTATTGAATGCGTGTAATATTCTAATTTTCTGAGATTGTGGATTTGGGGTTTTCATGAACTGTAAGCCATAATCATCACAATTATGACAAATCACGGCTTGAACTATCTTGCTTTGCATGTAATGCGTCCATCTAATATACAGTATTCATTTCACCTTTTAAGTTGCATTACTGAAATAGATGAACTTTTGCACGATTCTAATTTTTCGCGTTTCACCTGTATACATATGGAGTGCATACAAACATATACACATCAAGTATGTGTGGATCGATTTAAATTTCTTTTTCAAACTTTCATGTAGTATTCTATTCATCAGGCTTCAAAAAGCAACCTGGGATAATTCACATGCATTGACAGGCTCAGAAAACTTAGAAGAAGAGTTGATGTAGGGAATGGTAATAATATGAATGGAAAAGAAACTGTAACAAACTCTTGATGGAATACCTTCACAACCCAGGTTCTGCCTTTTTTCAGTGATAAAATACCCCCAAAATCATATAGTCTGGAATATTAAATATGTAATGGCTTTACAGTTGGCTTTAGCTTAACATTCCCAGACGAGAAGTGTAACCTATGATCATGAATGTTACCCAAGAAATGTTATGTGAAACCCATAATCACAAAATCAATCATTTACCAATATACAGTCCATAGAAACCCAGAGCTGATAACATAGCTTCTTTGGTTGTAAAGTTATGGGTTATTCTAATATACTAGATATTAGAGTAATAGAGTGACATTCTAATTGTTTTATTAAAAAAGACAAAGCCTGCCAGACTGCAGTTTATAAACGTACTGTGAAGCAGTAATTCCAGGATGCACTATGGATGATTTTCTTGGTAAAAAAAATGAGAGCTGGCTCAATCTCTATGTTTATGAAATAATGTTTCAGCAAATGGGAAGATCTTTGACCACACCTCATTTTGTTGTACAAAGAAAGTGCTACCTAATAGCAGCTAATGTTCTGAGTGGGAGAAAATATAGGAAAAAAGTAATTGAAATAAGGCATTTTTCTTCATCAAAGACAAGATATACATTTGTATCTTGTTTCAATAAATTGTTCAGAAAAATTCATAATAATTTAGTTGCTGAAACAAACACAAAACAAAATAAAACCCCATTTTTTTCATTTTATTCATGTATAAAGAATGGTAAATTTGAAATCTCCAAAATAATATCATAGTGTATTCACAGCTTTGAATAAATACATTTTTATTTTTTTAAAAAGTGATTTTAATCTGTGCATAGGACATACTGGAAAAAGCTGATAATGCTTTCTAATTTTTGTAAACAAATTTATAATTTTGATACATGAAATTGCTTGCCACTTTATTTTTAAGAAGCTGATGCACTAAATTTATCACATTTTTCATTAGGCATTCTTTTTAGTACATTGTGGGAATTTTGTAGACATAGTATATAGTGATTTGACAAGGCATTTGACATTCTCATCAGCAAGTTAATTGTGGCTTACTTGAGATGACAATTATGTAGACACATAAATAGCTTGAAAAATGGAGTTGGTGTTTCCTCATCAGTGAGTCACTATTGTGAGATGGATAGCAATATAAATAATTTAAGTAAAAAAAAATTTAAATGCAGGTGTGAAGAAAAATGTCAGATGATTTAATCCTAGTTTCTGATTATTCAATATTAAATTACTGTATAAGGTGATAATATAAAAAATAGACTTCATAGGTCAGGGAAATGGTCCAAGAATAATAAATTGATATTGGTATTTAAAAGATACAAATGCAGAGCCAAAGATAAAAGTCCAGAACTGTAAGACTGCTTTTTAATAGGTTCAAACAACAACAACAACAACAACCAAGGAACCAGCAGCCTAAAAGCAGCTGGAAAATGCAACCTGGGGAAAAAGAAAAGCCAAGCTATAATTATTCAAATCTTGTTTGTTTCAGTCTTCTCCAAATCACTTCCAGAAAAGTGTCACTTAGACATTTTTAGCATTCTACACAGTAGACATTCACACATGGCTGTTTAAAATTGTAGAACGGTAATGATTCATGTGCTTGACTACATTCTCTTTCCCCCTAAGTGTACAACTGTTCAAAGAATCACAGACTTGGAAGGTGCCAAAAGCTTTGAAAATTCATCTCTACAATAAAACACCCTTTTATATAAGTAGGATATTACCAGAGTCAATATTCTTTCGACAGATAGCTTTTTACAGTGAGGAGTACTTTTTTGAAAGTATCATCTTATTTGAAGTGTTGCTGAATTACCGAGTCTACCACCTCTTGACTTGATCATTTCATTCTGTTGCCTTCAATGATATTTTCAACGTAAACTTCACCAATCACATTGGAAGTGTATCGAGGATTACAGCCTGAAGTGATGTAATTTAATGAACCAGATAGGTGAAAGAAGAAAATTGTATTTTGCAACAGTTCACCCAAGGAAGAGGAAAGGATGTGAGAAAAGTGAACCCAGAGCCTGTTCCATTTGGATTACATCCCCCTTTAAGCAGCCATGTGGTCTCAGACCAAAAGTCCCTTAAAATTTCCTTTGCAGTTATTGAGTCACCTCTGATCACCACTAAAAAAAAAAAAATAGACTTTTTTTCCTGTTTTATCATTTAGGGTTGGAAAATAAATCAATACATGTATTTGTTTAGTCCAAATTGTGACTATTTTTATATAGAAAAAAGACCCACAAATTTCCAAAGTATAACACAGTATACAGGTAGTCCTTGACTTATGACCACAATTGAGCACAAAATTTCTGCTGTTAAGCAAAACAAGTATTGAGTTTTGTCCCATTTTATGACCTTTCCTGCCACAGTTGGAAGAGAATCACTGCAATTGTTAACTTAGTAACATAGTTGTTAGGTGAATCTGGCTTCCCTATTGACAGAAGGGGCAACCTTGTTAGAAGGTTGCAAAAGTATAACCACAGGACACTGCAACTGTCATAACTGTGAGTCAGTTGCCAAGTGTCTGAATATTGATTATGGAGATGCTGCAATGGTTGTAAGGAAAAAATGGCCCTACGTCACTTTTTTCAGTGCCATTGTAACTTCAAACAGTAACTAAACAAACTGTTGTAAATTGAGGATTATTTGTATAAGTTTGTATACCAAACAAACTTCCCTTCCACTCTCCCCCAGGCCCAA